TGTCCCTTTCACATTCCGGTGAGGGAGAAATTCCCTGAGAATGGGCTCCTGCACAAGTCCGACAAGTCAGAAGACTAGAGCTCTGGTCTTGGTCATCCAAATTGGATCCTGCAACATTATCCTGGGACATGTATATTTGCCTTCATCCGTGAGTGAATATTCTCTTCCTTTCTGTATAAGCATTTGCGTCATCCTTAAAAATATTCAGGTGACTGCAGCCTGATGGACATATTGAGCTTAATAGCAGAATTAGAGGCTGTCCTTTACTGTTTCACTCACATAGTTATAGCTTAAGTTCTGCCCTGAATGTTTTTGAATGATTACTAACTGCTCTTTGCTCAGTTTTCTAGAGTACATTCTCTTTATTTCATCAACAATACTTTCTCCAGTACGGGAGATGGAGAATTCACATGTGGGTTTTCATTGGATGCCTGCTCTTGAGACCAAGTAGTCAAACTTGACACGCCCCCTCTTGCTGATCCAGTCTTTAACTTGGTCTCAGCTCTTGACGACGTGTCAGGTTTGGCTCTCAGTCAATTGCAGGTTAGGATCTATATGTGAATTCTCCTCTTCCTTTAAAAGATTCCTTCCCTATTAATTAAATTTCCTTACCTATTAATTTGACTTTCCCCTATAACTTCTGGCACTGGGATCAGTGCTTTCCCACACCCCTGCCTTTGGGACGGTTAAGGATTGGGGGGGGAAAATCCATTGCAGCTCTCCCTTGTTCTTTCCCCAGGGCTCTGGGGAGGCAGGGAGGAAACCTAAAACAGGGGGTTTGGAAAGAACGGCTGTTCATTTCTCCCTGTTTCCAAAGCGTTCCCTCAAATCCCCAGTCGGAGTTGCCTTCGACCTCCGGAATTGTTCGGAGCGCGAAGTACGATCGCGGGCGCCATTTTAAGTTGCCAAAAAAGGCAACGAAGTTCGTTTTACTCTCCGTTTTTGCAGCGATCGGCAAGAAATCGCTGGGGGGGGTTTCCAGCTTGGCGCCCAGCTCTGCCTTAGCAATTCAGCCCTTTGCTCTAAAAATCTGTTTTGAGGCTGCGGAGCTGCGCAGCAGAGCGGAACGAGTTGCGGCCGCCATTTTGGGGCCTACGATCAGGGCGAGGAGCTATGAAGGCCTCGCTCTGAAATTTCTCCGTAACTGTTCATAAGCATTTAAGGAAAGGGCCCCTAGGATTGCCAGGCGCTGTCAGCTCCTTGATTTATCTAGTAACTTTCTCCTTCAGTTACTGTTCATTTCCCCTTACTAACGGCCGCCATTTTGAAGCCACGTGGAAGCTTCTTCAGATTCAAAGGGAAACATTTTTACTTGTCCTGGGCCAGGTATCTTCTGGGGGGTGGTACCTTCCCTTATCAGTTAACCTTGGCATTTGTTTCATTTCCCACATCACAGTAACACTGATTGGCAAAATTGGATTATTTTTCCTTATTTACTGGTGCACATTGCCTGGCCACCTAAGGCCTCCGGGGCGGAGCCCAGAGTGTGGTTCCAACCGTGCCTTCGGTACCTCACTCAAGGACCGTGACCATAGCCCAGAGAGAACCTTAATATTTTTTGGGTCGGGTGGTCAGGGGAACAGCCTCTGTGTTTGTTCCAACTCCGCCTCCGCCAGCTTCTTGCCTGCCAGAGCGTCACCTCAGCTTATCTGAGACTGCTCCACTGGGATGGAAGGCTCTTCGTTACCTCAATCCACTCCATCTTCCGGTCACGGCTGCACTACATCCTCTGGACAGGAAACGGCAGGCAAGGCAAAAGCAAAAACTAAACATGTGCTCCCGAAACCTTCTAAGCTGGCGGAGAAGCAAGCCAGCCGTAGGCACCAGGCTCTGGAGAAGGAGTTCTCCAGAGCACAGAAGCAAGCCGAACTAGAATCAAGGCAGATGGAGGATACTGAAGTCGATCTGCCCTTGGGACCAGACCCTTCTGCCCAGGGAGTTTGGTCTGTTCCGGGAACCCCGGTGAACATAAGTCCTCCCCCCACTGTGGTTCAACAACCCACAATTCCCCCTGGGACTGTTTTAGAGCCCACAGTCACACCCACAGCCTTGGGCTCCAGGGGGGTGGATTTGGCAGATATCTTCGCTGATGCGCGCCTCGAGGCTTTGCTCTCCAAGGTGGTGGATAGAGCCTTAGGCCACCGCCCCTCTCCATCACCTGATCAGGGGGCTTCCACCTCGGCAATGCCCCATTACGAAATTCCCGCAGAATTCCCCATGATTCAAGAGCCTATGTCTCCCGCACACTCTTCGGTGAGTGGTTTTTCTTTCCCTCAGGGTGGGGAGCAACCGGATCTTCTCCTTTCAGAAGATGAGGAACTCCCCCCTGAACCTTCCACTTCAGGGGGTCTCTTCAATCCGGCTCATTTCCTGTCAATCCTTCGTAAGGCTACAGCAACCGCGAACTTAGGGTCTGACCAATTCCCTCAACCACCAGTGGCGTCGGATACCGACCCTCACCCTATATTCTTTGAGAAAGTGACTACCGAACACCATGTTCCATGCCCTTCCATCTTCCTTAAAGGGATTAAGAAGCCATGGGCCTCACCGGCCTCGCTTCCTTCCGTTAGTGGGACCGACAGAAAGTTATTCAGCCCCTCCACTGATCTCAGTGATGTGCTGGAAGTTCCTAAGGTGGACGAGGCTTGGACCCCATTGGTATCTCAAACGGCGGTTGCTGGGGACTTGACACAGGCGCTGAAAGAGGATGATAAAAAATGGGAACATACATTCAGGAAGACACACCAATCTGCGGCCTGGGCCATTAAAACGGCCAGCTGCACATCCTTTTTTGTCAGAACCACCCTTCTCTGGTTGCGTCAGCTTCAAGCCAGGGTCCCTGCTGAGGACTTACGCACTCATCAGGACCTGAGTAAAATGGTGGCGGCCACTGAATACGCTGTGGACGCCTCCCTTCAATCTGCTGTCTTTGCCTCTAGATCCTTGGCCTCCAACATCACGGCCAGGAGGATGTTGTGGTTGAAGCATTGGCAGGCTGATACCAGACTTAAATGGGGTCTTGCGTCTGCACCTTATCTGGTCGAAAACAAGGATAAGCGCAAGGTCATGGCCCATATAATTAAGAAGTCTGACAAGCGTCCTACCACCTACTTTCGTAGGCAGTCCTTTCGGCAGCCTGCGGGAGTCTCCACCGCCCAGACTTCCCGCTCCTTTAATCCCAGGGAGAGGCCATACGACCGCCCTTACGACAGGTCCGGGTTTAGGCCCAGACAGCAGGGACAAAGTAAAAGGCCATTTCGTGGGGCAGGACGCCCATTTAGGAAGTTTAAATGACTCACACACATCCCTTCCCATTGGGGGGCGGCTAGCTCACTTCTTTCACCAGTGGGAACTTTCCTCCACAGACAACTGGGTGCTACAATCCATCCAGCAAGGTCTGTCCCTGGAGTTTCTAGCCACACCCCCAGAACGACTCATCCTTTGCTCCATTTCCAGAAATCCACAGAAACGGGAACTTATGCAGGAGGCCATCCACCACCTTTTAGAAATTCAGGCAATAGAACCGGTTCCAAAAGACCACAGAGGGAAAGGGTTTTATTCAATCCTTTTTGTGGTACCCAAGTCCTCAGGGGGGTGGAGAGCTATCCTAGACCTCAAGCATCTCAACCATTACATCACCTACAAAAGGTTCAAGATGCAATCCCTCCAGTCCATACTGGGAGGGATCAGACAAGGGGATTTCTTAGCATCAATAGACCTCACAGAGGCTTATCTTCACATCCCCATTCATCCAGCTCACCGCCGGTTCCTGAGGTTCTGCTACCAGGGCAAACACTTTCAGTACAGGGCCCTCCCCTTCGGTCTTTCGTCGGCTCCCAGGGTGTTCACAAAAATCCTAGCAGTCCTGGCAGCCCAGTTGAGGAAGGTTCCCATTCGCGTCCAATGCTATCTGGACGACATCCTAATTCAGGCGTCCTCCTTGCAGGCGGCTCAGAGGGATGTGAATTACACCATCCGGGTACTTCAACTACATGGCTTCTCGGTCAACTTTCAAAAGAGCCAGACAGTTCCCGCGTCCAGACTCTTGCACCTGGGGGCCGTGATAGACACCTCCAATTGCATGGTCTATCTCTCCCAGGAGCTAGCGGTCAGCATCAGGGATCTGGCTCGCCGGGTACACAAGGAACATTCTGTCCCGTTACTCCTACTATCTCAACTTTTAGGAAAGATGGTCTCCTGCATAGCCATTGTTCCCTGGGCCAGACTGCACTTGCGGGACCTGCAGTGGTTCCTTCTCCCATTCCAGCGCACAAACACCAGCGCATCCAGTATTCAGGTCAAGGTTCCGGTTCACGTCCGCAAAGCGCTCCGCTGGTGGTTCTCGCGGGCCATAAATCAGGGGTCTCCCTTCAAGGAACCGGACCGCATCACCATCACTACGGACGCCAGTCTGTTCGGATGGGGGGCCCATCTACGGTCTCAGTTTGCGCAAGGCCGCTGGTCACGCGCAGACTTTGGCTGAGTTGGGAGTGGGAGGCACGGTTATGCGGTGGTTCTCCTCCTTCCTCACCGACCGCTCGCAGTCTGTATTGGCAGGGGGGCAGAGGTCGGCCCCAAGGCCCCTAACTTGTGGGGTGCCACAAGGGTCGGTCCTCTCCCCCTTACTGTTCAATATTTATGTGAAGCCGCTGGGGGAGATCATCCGTGGCTTCNTCAGACTATTGTAGGGGTCTGGGAGCCAACACCTCGTCCATCTTCAGTCACTTCGCCCTCGTTAAAGACTGGATCAGCAAGAGGGGGCGTGTCAAGTTTGACTACTTGGTCTCAAGAGCAGGCATCCAATGAAAACCCACATGTGAATTCTCCATCTCCGTACTGAGAAAAGGCGTTCAGGTAAGACAACGCCCCTTCTAATTTGCTATTGTTTTAATTGCTTTCAGGGGATACAAATGCCAGTGAGGAAAGAAGTATGATGTTTGTAAACAATTTTCCAAAAGGAATAAACTATAATAGGGTTGTTGTTTTTTTTGCATATTCAGGTGACAGAGTAATAGATGTGGGGTCAGAATGGCGAACATTCAGCAATGACAAAGCAACTAAAGACCCATCTCGAGTTGGAGATACCCAGAATCCTCTCCTTAGTGATGGAGATTTGACTACAATGATTGGCAAGGTAATATATATACATTTTTAACCTTACAATGTGTGAATGTTTCAGTGTTCAAAATTATATTGCGTTAACAAAAAAATACTGCTAAACACGAATTTCTTAGTCCTAAGACTGGAAGTGCTTTTGTTTTGACAATTTCTTGATATATTTACTTCTCAAATAATATAGGGTAGTCTTTTTCTCCCAGTATGAAGAGTGTAGGAAGCAGAGAAAATGTTCGTTTGTTTCTGTTACTTAGAATCCTTTGGGAAACTTATATCAGAAATTTAGCTTTCGTAAGCTGCTTCATCTTTGTTGTATCCAGGTCTAATTTGTTCAAATTTGATACCCGTCTGTGCTATTAAACTAAGATGCTTTCATATATGAAGAAATGCTTTTTCACTGTGGAAATTTCAAAGTATTCCTTTTTTTAATCTTGTTTGCAAAGTAGAGACAAAAGTAACATCTTTACATAACTTACACATCTACAACATTTTTCACTGCAAGAATTTCCAGGATTAGTTTCCATAAGAGGAAGAACTATTGTAAATCAGTAGATGAATTATAAACTAAGTTTTCACATTTCCCAAAACAATTTGAGGAATTATAAGTGGCTGGAATGCTTTGCTTTTAAGGAGTGTTAAGATTAAGTAATATTTTTTGGAGTACTGAATGTGTCTGCATATGTACTTGATAAAGTAGATATGCTTTTGCCTGGTAAATCAAAGTGTATGAGGACTGTTGGGCTAAAGATCTTCAAAAGGAACTCGGTAGACTGTACATAGGGATGCAGCCAGACTCTAAAAATTCGGATTCTTTTTGCGATTGCTGTGATCCTCATACACATTTTCTGCACCTGTGCAAAACACTGAGAACCTTCCAGAACTTAAGAAATTTTTGATGGGAGTCTTCACTGTCCCTTGACAGCCATACTATTTGCATATTAATTGGTTCTTAGAATTCCTTTTATGCACAGATTTTTACTCAGACATTGACATGGAAGCATTGGGTCCCATACTTCTGAAATGTCCTATCTACCATTTTTGAAAGGCAGAATTACTTTCCCCTCTAATTAAAAAACTGTTCAGAGCACTCTCATATGTCAGTTGTGCACTAACTAGCAACTTGGATCTGAAAGACTCTGGAATTGTAACTTAAACTTGTAGCATCTCTATGCCAATTAGGAGTTTGGGGGCCTCTTTTCCTCAGTGTGTTTAGTGCAGGTATGAATAGGCTTTTATTGAATGCATTTTTTAACTTCTGTGTGTTTGATCTTTAGTTTATATTTTAATAAAGTAAACATGCCCACTGCGGTCATTCAGTATGATAACTGAAAACGTTCTGTGTCAGTTGAAGCCTTGAAGCTAGTAGTCCCAGAGACTATAGCAGCTTTACTGCATCTTGTTTACTCTGTCACCTTAGAGCACCCATCATAGTTCAGAAGAAGTACTGGGACTTTCATTGTTCCCTTTTAAGACTGCTCAAAATCAGTATCTCCTCTTGAAAATCTCCTAGATGACACCATGTTGTCACCAGTGCCTGGGAGATTAATAGACAAGCACTCAGGGTTCCAGAAAAAACAGCCCTATCTAGTCCTGAACAAGTCGAAAAGATGGACAGCCATTTGTCTGAAATGGTATAGAGTTTCCTGCCTGAGCAGGGGGTTGAACTAGATGACCTCCAAGGTCCCTTCCAACTTTATTATTATTATTATAAAGAAGAAAAAATGTTAAATATAATAATCCTCATCTCTTCCTTCCTGCCCTAAAGGTCAGTCTTCATCTTGATAAAATGGGGCTCCTTGACCGATCAGTTATCTCGGGTACCATTGCCACCAGAATCCCAGTTGATGGATTTTCAAGCCCCCTGTTACTGGGTATTGTTGAAGTAATCCAAGACTCTTTCTTGGTCTTGACATGATAGCATTCTAAAGACTGTTCTTTTTCTCAACATTATTGAAACTAAAGACATTGTTCTTCAGTTCAGGACGTGTTGACTTGCGTTATTCAATAGGGTTCGTTGCGCTGATAAAGGAATAAACTAAAACTCAAACCTTTTAGTTAACCCACATCCCTTATTAGAAACCCAGAACACTATTCAAATACAATTCAAACTACCTGTTTAACTAAAACAAAAACATTTACAGAAGCACTAGAATATGAATATACACGATATATTTACTATCACTAAAATAAGAGATAATTATACAATTCCAACATGGTTACCAGTTTGGGGTTTTATCATTTACCCATTACCATTTATCACATTCAGTTCAAGGGAAGAGTCGTCAGTGGCACCAAAAGAGCTGCTTTTCTCCCACAATGATAGTCCTGCAAACAGGGCTGGCTCAGTTCGAGAGTGTAAGTTTATGCAAGCTTTCCAATTGCTCAGACATAACATTGACAGCTACTTTGGTAGATGATCTTGCACGACTTCAGGTATGTCCCTTACAAATAGGTACCTTCCATTCTGCCCCATTTGGGATAGATGTCAGAATTCTCCCTCTGTATTCAAGTAGATGTCAGTAAGTTGCTGCTATGATAGTTAACTTCAAGTAATATAAGAAATACCTCTTGGGCTCCCTTTCTGATTCACTACTGGTGCATCCATATCAGGATCTTTTGTATTGAAGGTGGACAAGATTGCCTGGCATATTAACATTGGGCTGCGAACAATTTGGAAGTATTGAGTATTCAATACTTGAGTATTCAAGGGTTTATTCTGAGATCAAATAGATCAGGATGTATCAAACAGTAGTTACATAAAGGTGAATGAAATCCCACTCTGCTTTTGCATCTCCCCTTAGAGCAGGGGTAGGCAACCTTGGCTCTTTTATGACTCGTGGACTTCAACTCCCAGAATTCATGAGCCAGCCATGCTGGCTCAGGAATTCTGGGAGTTGAAGTCCACGAGTCATAAAAGAGCCAAGGTTGCCTACCCCTGCCTTAGAGCTATGGACTTGATATACAGTCTTATTAGTGACAGTTCACATGGTAATACATGTTGACCAACTAACTGTATATGAATTGTCACTGTATATGAATTGCAGTAGTACACTTCGGTGATGACCGTCATCAAATACAATTGGAGCTAGTTTGGTATAGTGACTAAGGTGCTGAGCCAGAAACATGGAAACTGAATTCTAGTCCTCCCATTGTTATGAATGCTGGCTGGATGATTTTTGGCTAGTCGCTCATCTTTCAGCGTAACTCACCTCACACAGTTATTGTGGGAAAAATAGGTGGGAGCGTTAGATATACATGCTAGAAGAGAATATTTGTAGCTCAGGGTTGAACTGTGGGGTCCTTGGTGCTGCCTGAGTTTGGTTGTTTTATTGCAGATATTTCATTACCCAACTAGGTGACATCATCAGTGCTCCCTTCTAGCACTGATGATGTTACCTAATTTGGTATGAAATGTGTGCAAAAAAGCAACCAAGTTCAGACAGCACTAAGGATCCTACAAGCTGTCTTGAGTTGACCAAAAATAAAAGGGATAAAAACCTAATAATAAATCTACTGAATGTTCTCTTTGCATTGTGTGGCAATTGAAAATTACTCCTAATGTTTTTTTTCTCCTGGACAATTATTCCTTAAACTTTTTTTTTCTCCCATAGTCCCCCCGATAACAAGATATCTGCAAGAATTTAACCAACTCTTATTATCCCTTGATGGCCTCCACAACCATGGTTGACTTCATGTTTACAGCTGGGCCACTGTGAATATCTTGATCTCCCCAAATGCTTAAGTTGGTTATCCCTCTATCAGTGATAAGTGTATCAGTTGAACTTTAATCTGCTCTGTGTCATGATGTGGAGATTTTGGCCATGGCTCTTCAAGTCTCAACTAGATGAGTTTCTGCTGTCTTTCAAGAAATCCTCTTCCATAAACTCTTAACATCAAAAAGTTTAGGCATTTCATTGATTATTTGAGAAGTCTGTGATGTTGGATTGTGTGTTTCAAATTTAAAGGAAGTGTGGTTTAGCTTATCTTCACTGAAAGTATACATAGCAGCTATTTTATCGTTTAACCTGTTTGAAGTTTTGTCCTTTTTTGTGTACTCTGAGTAATAAAGCTTGATACATTTTCAAGTGCCAGTAACCCTTCCAGTTTGACACATTCTTTTGTTGATACTATTGACGTTTATGTCAAAGTCTTTTGAAATGATGGCTACAAGTCTTATTTGTAGTTTTTTCCCCAGCTACTGTCACTGGGGAGTTGCATGTTTTGCACAGGCGTGCACAGCACATTGTATCCCTCGTATACAAATAGAGTGGTCTTCTACTGAGACACAGGATTTTTTTGGCCAGAATCCACATCTAAATGACATAGCGAACAAAATATTGTGTGCTAGCCTAGATATATTATATCAGTGGAGGACAAGCTCCCAATTACTTCTTCCTGGTTATTAAGAAAGTAAGGCCCAACATTTAAAGTTGTATTAGTTAACTGTGTAATTAGAATATTGCCATATCATTGTTTTGGGAAATGATTAAGAAATGCTTTCCTCAAAGTCAATTCATTAATAGAATGGATGAATGGCTTACTGGACAATGTTTGCAAGAAAGCTTAAAGATGGTTACAATGATAGGACTGGACATTTCACTGTTAATTTCTGCAATTTAGTGTCACAAGATAGGTCTGTTGGGTATTTGGTGTCAAGTTGCAGCCCCTCGCCCCCAAGGCTCCTTCCATTCATACAGATTCCATGGGTTTGTAAGGAAGAGAAACAGAAATGTGAACATTTATTTCAGCAAAACCAGGGAGTGATTTTTAATGGTGTAGTGAGTATAAAATGAACTAAGTCCCCTTAATCTAGTGGTTAGAGCAGTGATGGCGAACCTTTTAGAGACCAACTGCCCAAACTGCAACCCAAAACCCACTTATGCATCGTCGGGTGCTGGGTGGGTGTGGCCCATTGGGTGGGCGTGGCTGTGGTGGTAACGGCAGACTGGGTGGGACTAAAAAGTTCGATCAATCAATTCCAACTTTGCAAGATCTTTTTTTTCCCTGCGAGAAGTTGAAATTGACTGATTGATTGAACCTTTTTTTTTTGCACACGGCGGCGGAGGCCTAAAGTGAAAAGGTTTTATAAAACCCAGCTGAAGGCCTAGGACTGGGGCGACGGCGCGTGTGCCCACAGAAAGGGCTCTGAGTGCCGCCTCCGGCACCCGTGCCATAGGTTCGCTACCACTGGGCTAGAGAGTAGTCTTTGAATATTTACTTTTTCAGATTGCATTGACTCTTTTTCCTGGAAAGTAGAATTTAACCTGTGTGGCTAAATTCAGTAATTCAGTATTTTGGTTGCCCTGATAAATGTCTTACTCAGTTAAGAGATTTTGTCTCTCTCATACACATGGAACATTTTATAAAAATAAAAGTCTTTTACAAGACTGTGCAGTATATATGCGTATTAGGGCAGTTCTTCAACAATGGGCAATAGTTTGACAAATAGAATGATCTTGTTGTTGATAAGAAAGAAGACTTTAAATGTTGGGTTCAAGTTATTTTTGGTAGCTTCTGAAACTGAAGCCATGAGCTGTGCTGTAAGACTGGGGGTGGGGTGGGGTGGGGAGCGGAAGGGGGAAGGTTATGATGGAAGTGATTCTCCTGCTTCTGTTTCGGAGGCTGCCTGTCACTTTCTCAGAGCTCCTGCTTAGATAGCTTTCCTCTGCCATTGAGTTCCTCCATCTGGTGCTCTCTGTCGTTTTGGACTACAACACTAGTAGTTGACCCAGCCAGTATGAATCAGACAGGGAGGAGAGGAAACATTCTTGTGCTGGCAATTTGCTCCTTCAAATATTTCCTCCACCCAGAGCTCTACTTTCATTCTTTGCTTTTTATTTTCTGAATTGTGTATGGTCCAGTTTTAGGAAATTTTGACCAACATAAGGGGGTAGCTTTTTTCCTCCCGGTACTCATTTTTTTTCTTCAAAAAAGTATAGAAATAACACATTATGGATAAATAGCACGTATTTAAAGCATGTATGTGTGTGGTTCCTCATCTTCCTGATTTCAGTCAGATAATGAAATACATAAGATAATTTAAACCAAAAGTACTCCTTTCCAAATTGTTTTTCTTATGAGCTGACCTGGCTGGTGGCAAAGAGCATAGTTCCCATCTGTGGAGATTTAGAGAAGGCTAATAATTCATACTTGCCTATTGCAGAAGACCAGCAGGAAGACAGAGAAAATAGATGAGTTTCATTCTGAAACTTCTACATTTGGATGTGCTTTTAATATGAATTGTACATAGGTAATGGCTGGTGATGAAGTAAGAAACAGTGACATCCTAAAAATACTTAATTCATCTATGTTCTCTCTGGTTCTAAATCAACATCAAGCCATCTTAATAGGAGAATGCATGAAGCAAAAAATAATAATAATTCAACATTTGGTGGGATTTTTTATAGAAATTACCTTTCTAATATCAGAGATTTATTCATTCCATGCTTTAGATACTGTACTAATTAATATATGACTTAGTTGTACGTCAGTCTGAAGCCCCTGAGATTGTATTCCATTTTAACTGTTCCTTTTATTCTATGTAGTGTGGTATTTACTTGGAGCTTGTTAGTATTTTGCCTTTTATAAAAACTAGATAAATTTGAGGTGTTAATTCCTTGTGGAAGGATAGCTTTTGAAAGTGAATGAAATCAACATTATACAGGGTTTTACCCTTACATAATATGTGCTTTCCAGATTTTAAGCCAAGCCTGTTCCGTGGTCCATGCTGAGATAACATACTAATTTCTGTTTCACTTGTGCTTTGCTGAGAATCGTGTTATTATTAGGTAGTAGTAAAAAAAACTGTGTTTAAGTTAGATGGTGTACTGTCTTCTAATTCCCCTCGCAGTAGATATTCGTGCCACCTGTGTGTTTTGTGTGTGAATGTAACAATGTGCTCTGTTCCTCAACCCTTTTTCCGCAGGGGACAGGCGCGGCCAGCTTTGATGAATTTGGGAATTCAAAGTATCAAAATCGTCGCACCATGAGCAGTTTTGACCGTGCAATGATGAACGCCTTCAAGGAAATCGCTAGCATGGCTGACAGGATCAACCTGCCCCGCAATATAGTGGTGAGTTATTATGCTTTGTCTTCTGAATTTTTTTCCAGCCTCATTTAGCATAAAGTAATGAACATGGGCTGCTTTTTTTTTTTTTTGAGATTATTTGCTAATTAAATCGCCTGGAGTTAATTGAATTTTGTCTGCTTACTTTGAAGGATCGAACAAATAATTTATTTAAGCAAGTGTATGAGCAGAAGAGCCTGAAGGGGAGAAGTAACGATGCCATTGCATCAGCTTGTCTCTACATTGCTTGCAGACAAGAGGGAGTTCCTAGGACATTTAAAGGTGAGGGTTCGATGACGCATGCTTCCGCTGCTTTTCAACGTAGGACCCTCAACTTTTAGATAATTTTTTTCTTCTGTGTGCAAATATAGCGAACCTCGTACAGATAGTTCTCGCCTTATGATCACAATCGGGCCCCAAATTGGCTCAAGCAGGACAGTTAAGTGAGTTTTGCTCCATTTTATGATTTTTCTTAACCACAGTTGTTAGGTGAATCCCTGCAATTGTTAAGTTAGTAACACCTTCGTGAATCGGGCTTCCCCCATTGACTTCGCTTGTCAGAAGGTTGCAAAAGGCGATCACGTGATCCCGGGACACTGCAGTTGTCATAAATGTGAACCAGTTGTCAAGCATCCGAAATTGGATCACGGGGATGCTGCAGTAGTCCTGAGTGTGAAAAAAAAAGGTCCTAAGTCTCTTTTTTCCAGTGTTGTTGTAACTGTGAATGGTCACTAAATGAATGGTTGTAAGTCAAGGACTACCTGTACTTTCAAAAAGCTGGTGCGTGCTTTGTACTTAGGACTTTTCTGATCTGTATTTTTATGGAATGTAGGACTTAAACGACAGAAACTGCTTAAAGGAGTAGTCGTGGTTATCTGGTTGTGTTCCAAGCAGGGATGAGAATTCATTATTGAGGTAGAATTTACATAGAAGATGTAATGCAAAAAACAAAACCCCCCTACCTCCCTATCTAATAAATATATTCAAGCATCACATCTTGGGGTAGAATTGTGTAGAGCAGAGGTCTGCAACCTTGACAACTTTAAGACTTGTGGACTTCAGTTCACAGAATTCCTCAGCCAGCTATAGCTGGCTGAGGAATTCTGTGAGCTGAAGTCCACAAGTCTTAAAGTTGTCAAGGTTGCAGACCCCTGGTGTAGAGAAATAGGGCATTAATATTACATCCTGTACCATTGCTGTAAAAATTATTATGATTCAAATAACCGGCAGTGAAGACCCATCATTTGATTGACTGCATGGTAACTGTGAGAACCCATTCAGTGTAGTGGTTGAGGATCAGGCTAGAAATCAGGAGACTCTTGGGTTCTAATCCCAGTCATGGAGCCAAAGGGGGACTTTGACCAGTCATTTTTCCCCCCTTAGCTTTAGGAAGGAGACACCGATAAGCCACGTTTGAAAAGCCTCGCCAAAAGAGGTTCAGGGACTAATCCAGGTAGTCATCAGAAGTCAAAACTGACTTGGAGGAATCATTAAAAAAAAGTACACTATCCACGTTTGTTTATTGATTCGTTAAAATTTTATTCCACCTTTAGATTAAGAAGTCAGTATAACTGATAGCTATACAGCTACGAATGAAGGCGGATATACGTGTCCCGGGATAGTGTTGCAGGATCCAATCTGGATTGGTCGCCGGGACCCGAGGTTTCGTCTTCTGAGCTTTTGGAGTCTCCCCGGAGCCCATCTTCAGGGAACGTTTCTCTCTAGCAGAGGGTGTGTGAGAACAGCCCAAAGCACACACTTTGCTAGAGGGAAATTCCCTGAAGGTGGGCTCCTGCTTGGTAGACGAAACCTGTAGTCCCCCCGGTGACCGACCCAGATTGGGTCCTGCGGACTTTTTCCAGCCATTCATTTAGGGTTTGTTCAAAGTTACAATGGCACTGAAAAAAGCGAATTACGACCAGTTCCTTGCACTGTGACCATTGCAGCATCCCTGTGGTCACACAGGCATTCGGCAACTGGCATGTGTTTATGCCGGTGGCGGTGTCCCAGGGTCATGCAATTGCCAGCTTTCAAAAAAGTCATCAGGAGAAACCGGATTAGTTTAACGCAGACATGTCAAACTCATGACGTCATTGCCAGCAATGGGGTGGCGCAGCTTCCGGATGACACGTCCGGCCCACGGGTCGGTAGTTTGACACCCCTGGTTTAACAACTCCCATGATCCACTTAATGACTGCAATGGTTCGCTTAACAACCATGGCAAACCAAGTCATAAAATCGGGTGCCACTCCTTTAACAATTTCCTTGCTTAGCAATGGAAATTCTGGTCCCAGTTACGATCATAAGCCAAGAACTGAGCTGCATATATCTAATGCTCCATCTTTCCATTTCCCCTCTAATAACAACTCTGTGAACTGGCTTGACTGGAAGGGAGGGATTGGCCCAAAGTCCCCCAATTGCCTTTCATGCCCATGGACTACTAGAACTGTCAAGACTCCCAGGTTTTAGTATGCTAATCAATCAATCCATTTTTTTTATTGTTTTGACTATTGGTCAAAGATAAAAATAACTGCACAAAAATGGCCGGTTATTAATAAAATACATTAAAATATAAAAAAAAAATCAGTAAGAACATTCCAAAGTACTTCTCTGTTCTACCAAAGCCTTGCATCCCTCTTATTTGGAAGACCATCTCTCCAAGCAACTAAGAGTTTCCATGAATTTTTGTATCATGTGCTTTGCGATTTGTTTTTCTAAGCTTGAACTCGAATACATTTTTTTTCATGTTGAGGGTTTTTATTCTTTTCAAAATGAAAATTAATGAGGAAAGACTGATGCAAGGAAATGAAGATTTTCATTTCTCCACTGTTGCAAAGGCTGTCATTATTATTTGTTGATTTGATCTTTTGCTGAAATTTCAATATTTTTTTTAAATACTGCTGATGTCTATCTAATGTGTTTCCTTGTGTGTGTGTGTGTGTGTGTGTGTGTGTAAATATAGCAATTAAGCCTGGCTAAGCTCTCAAAGTAATATTACTTTATTAGTTACATAGATTAATTTTATATCTGTGCTATGAAAATGTAACGAACAATGAAAGAACTGACTGTTAAGCTTTAATTGATGGAGTGGGTGGCTGGGAGTATTGATCTAAATTCATTGTGACGTATGTACTATTTTATTCTTTAGAAATATGTGCTGTTTCCAGAATTTCCAAAAAAGAAATAGGCCGGTGTTTCAAACTCATCTTGAAAGCTTTAGAAACAAGTGTGGATTTGATCACTACTGGAGATTTCATGTCCAGATTTTGTTCAAACTTGGGTCTCCCTAAGCAAGTCCAGATGGCCGCAACACACATTGCGCGTAAAGCTGTGGAATTAGATTTAGTTCCTGGAAGGAGTCCTATCTCGGTGGCAGCTGCTGCTATTTATATGGCTTCACAAGCCTCGGCTGAAAAGAGAACACAGAAAGGTAATGTCTTTATCTAGGAAAGTAAGTTTTATACATGCCAGCAATAGTTCTTTTGAAAAGAGAAAGAATTGGCACGGATGCCACAAACTCTGTTTCTTCTGTTTTGTTTAAAATCCATGTCCAGTAGTCAGTGCCTGAATTTCTGCTCTTCTTTTGGACTAATTTAGTAGGTTGTCAAATTAATTACCGAGCAGACTAAACCATTGTTGCTGAAAATGCCACAAAGACTGAGTTTGTGCCCTGTATTAAGTTAAAATAAACCTTTTTTGTTTTGGTTTTTGCTTTCATTGATGAGTAAACCCAGGTAATAGCCTCTGGAGTGTGTCTCAGGATAGAAATCAAACTGTCCTGTGAATTGCAGAGGTTCATTCAGACACTTCAGGTTGGTCCAGAAAGAATTGGACATAAATGTAAATGGTATCATGAACTGTTGCTGACCTTTCTCACTTTCTCTACAACTTACCTGGTTTGGGTTAGTTGAAACCAGCCTTAAAAGTGTCTGAATTTAAATATCAGGGTAAAAGTCTTAAGTTGTAAATTATATAATTCGTTTTGGAATTACATCAGAGTTTAAGTATTACTGGTGAATTTGGAGAATTAGAACTCTAGCAAACAAGTGCCAATTTGCTTACCTTGGCTTTTATTTCAGAAATTGGAGACATTGCCGGTGTAGCTGATGTTACAATAAGACAGTCATATAGGCTGATTTATCCACGTGCTCCAGACCTTTTCCCAGCAGATTTCAGATTTGACACACCAGTGGACAAACTGCCCCAGCTGTGAAACTTCAAAGACCCTGCAAAATAATTTTTGACTTAGAAAAGCACTAAGCATATAAAAGCAGTCCTGTCAAGCCTTCAATTGCAGGACTGGTGAAAAGAGATGGAAAAGCTGATCGGATGAAGTGGAGCACACATTCCAGATGTAAACAAAATAATTTTGTGGCATTTTTATGTATATATTAGTGAATGTAAGTATTTAACAACCATTGCAGCAAATTTAATTTTCTATTCTGTGTATTTAGATTTCTTTCATAGAGATCTGGTAAAACGTATTTTGGAAAATATTTCAAATCAGAATAAACTGTTTTCCAAAAACAGTACTGACCTACAAGTTTCACTGTATGTAACTTTGTTCTAAATAAATATCCAAGTGGAAAATGTAATCTTTAAAATTTGTTCAGTTTTCCTAATTAGATGCTGTACATGGATTTTACATTGTTTCTTGATAACTCTTAAGTTAATTATAATGGGAAGTTTTAATTCAGAGAAAATATAGTTCGTATGATAATAAAAATACTTGCAGAAAATTTTCTATTCACCTTAGGAAAAGATTAACAATGTCAAGTTTACACTGTGGTTCATTCTATTTAAAGTCCCATAAATCAAGAGCAAGTCTCTTCATTACCTTGTGTGGCTACTTGAAAAAAGAATTCATATTATGTTCGTTCATGGTCTCTGTCATAAGAGGGAGATTTTTCTGTTGCTGAATTTTGAATAGAAATGGGACCGTTTCTCTTTTCACACAGCCAGGAACAATTTTTCAGTCAGTGATGATGATAGTCTAGTTAAAAACAAGTGGACTATTAACTAAGGCATTGAAAATAGTTGAGTATGCTTTGAACCATTGTTGAACAGGAAGGAAGCTGAATCCAAGATTCTTTACCCTACGTATTCAAATGTTTGTCTCCAACTTGATATTCCCTGCTGCCATTATTGTTTTATTTAGCAGAGCTGATCAGTTTAACTACTGAAACACAGCTGAGAAGAAAACAGCAGGTGTGTGTGTGTAGGGAGTTCCATAGTCCCTCCAGGCCATTGAGATGGAACTGGGAAAATGTATACTTTGATTTAAGCATTATGCAGCTTTTAGGTGAATTAGAAATCGAATCTTTACAAAATCAGGTTCACTCCTTTTTTTTTTGAGTGGGGATGTCCACTTGCTGCTTCAACTGCTATAACAACACGGCAGAGCTCATGATAATTTTTTTTAAAATTAATTTTAAGTCTGCACAATACAAAGCTTTACAATGTATATTAAAAATAAAATTAATCCTGGAGGCTCATATCTTTCTGTTAATTTCTTGGTTCATGAAAGTGGTTTGCAGTCATACAATCTAAGGGGTCTACGATTTGGGATTATTTTGTTAAGGAATGTTACCAAAAGATGATATTTTCCTGGCAGGCTGTCTCTTACTTTGTGTTAGCGTCTGAATGCCATCAGATGGCTTTGTCAATTTTTGCCTGCAATAGTCTGGCTGAGGAATTCTGGGAGCTGAAGTCCACAAGTCTTAAAGTTGTCAAGGTTGCAGACCCCTTCTGTAGAGTAAGGGCACAGAAATCCAACTCACTACAATAAACCATCTTGAATGTAATTCACTGAAGGCAGTTCTATCACTGTCAAAAGTTAATCAGCACAGACTTTTTATATGTAAGTCCAGTAAAAGAATTTTATCTAGCACTTGTTTTAAACCACAATAATTAAAAATCATGTCTAAGTAGTAATGGATCCAAACCTATAGGAAATTGGATTAACTTTAGACAAAAGGTAAAAAGGGGCCAAAAAGTAAAAAAAAACAACACCTGGCCATTTTAGAATGAGATGACTTAAATATTAATTGCTTAGCAGCGTAAAAATATACTTACTATCATGTAAACCATAGATGTTTTAATGTTGGGATTATTTGGGCCACCCTCTACTCAGTAGAGAAATAAAAATTAAATCTCTTTTAACCTCTGCTAGAACATAATTAGTAAAGGATAGTCCACTGCTTGGTGGCTGTCATTTTTTTTCCCTAACATCCAATCAGGATCTGCTTTATTATTATTTAAATTCACTTCTGTGTCCCGTTACCTGGAATGAATACAGACCTTGACTAACTTCTCTGATATGCTTTCAAGTATTTGAAGATTGCTATTGTATTATCACTTATTATCCTAAACCATTTTCAGTTTTGCCCAATTTCCTTCGTAGGACTTGGGTTTCTAGTCTGTTAATCATCCTGGTCTTAGTTGAACATGTTCTAGTGTCTCAATTGAAGTGCATCATCCAGAACTGGACATGAGTCTGATCACCGCAGAATTTACTTCTATTTTTTAGTGTTCCAGGATTTTAACTATGATTACCAAACCAGGTATTCTCATTTTATGACTCTACATTTGATTTTTGTTTCCTAAATGACAAACTGCATGCGTTCAATTTCATTTTTAAATAAATTCATCTAGATTTTGATTTTTAACTATACTATAAAATTGTGCATCATACAACTTTGGGAAGGATTCCATTCCTCTCACTAAATGAGAAAATAAAGTGAGAAGGGTTCAAGATTAACTTTTATGGTACCCATTTGATTCATCTCTCTAGTGTAATGAGAAATCATTCTGAGTATAATTGTCAAGCCAGCTTCTATCTTAACTAAAAATTAGCTTTCTGATCAGAATCTAATGGGGTATTTTGTCCAGAAACAAGATACATTTTGAATATAGCTTTCTCATTATCTATTACTGAATTTAAAAAGTTACAAGATTTGCTTGGCAATTGGTTTTCTTAACAAATCCATGCTGATCTCAGTTAACTGGTAAATAAGGGCTTCTCTCAGTGAATAGTTTGAAAGAGCTCTAAGTGTATTTCACAGAATCATTTTCAGTTGTGTCTCTCTTGGGTACACTAATGAGGAGACAATGCATCAGGGAAGAACCATCTCATTTTGTACATGAGAAAGGAGCAGTTTTAAAAACTCTTTGTCAAATAATGGATCGAGATAAAAGCTGAGAATTATTTTAGGGCCAATCTTCAGCAACCCCTTGTAACAACCCAAGTCCTCCCAAGCTTTCAGCGCAAACCTTAATACCTCCTTCCCATCCCATGAATCGTAATATATAATGTAAACATGCTATACATAAATGCAGTTTGGCCTTGCTGGATTATGTGGCTCTTGTCATAACGGTGGTGGCTTGGGCTACTGTAATTAGTATAAAGCAGGCCTTAGTGTGAAGTTTAAATTCAGCCTGTGTGAGAAAGAGATACTCATTCCTGTTGAAATCATATGCTGAAAATTATTAGTTCATCTTCCAAGTGAATACGGCACAGAAATTTCAAACAAAGAATCAGTTTCCCAAGTGAACCATTAAGGAATTTCCTAAGCAGCTCTATAAACTGTTTTGATTAGAAGACGGCACCTAAGGGAGGTTTCTTAAATGTTTAAAAAACGAAGTAGATAATTTATCCACCCTGAAAGAAAAAGTAATTCACACAAAGTTCCAAAGTCATCATTTTATCTAAAGATCAAACACAAGATTATAATTCAAATCAGTAATTTTTTTCCTATACAAATTTCACTATTTAAATTTTGAGAGTTAATTGCAGATAGTTTGTACTATTACACTGTTAAAGGCACATTTCATTTAAATGCATAGTGTACCATTCTAAAATACCCTAATTTTTTTACAAAGTGCTTCAGCAGCCACGTATGTATAGCAAAATATATTTACAATCTAGAGTTTAAAAACTTAATTTGCCTATTTTTCAAAACTAGATAAAAATTAGTGCGTTCATTCAGCTTAATTGTGAAAATACCCTGCCTCTAATGTGATTTTTCAGAAATTCAAGATTACAAACATTTCTGTACAACTTATACTTACAAAAAGTTACTTCCATAGGATTTTAAATTTGAAGCACCTACCAGGGACACAGCGGTTTACAGAAATAATAAGGAAGAAAAGGGGTTGGCAGATTGTACCTCAGATATGTAGTGTTTTGCTTAATTAAGATGTAGCCATTTAAAATAAAAAAAAAACCAAATTAGCATACTGAAAAATGATAGGTAGTGCAATTTTTTTTAAAAAACTGCAACTTAGTAATATTCATAATTTTTATAAAAAGCATTATCCATCTTCCTTATGAAGGAATTTACACGTTATTCCGGCAACCTTCTTATTCCTTATATTCTTGTAAGGCTACAAAATATGAATAGAGTCCCCAGCTATCATACTGAAACAAAATAGTTTGAGTGGGGTAATGGAGAAGATTATAAAAAAAATACCCTCCAGCACTCCCACACAAGCCCCTTATTGGTATTTCTCTACTTTCTTACAAATTCAGCCCTGTATGTGACTTATCGATTCTGAACCACACTCCAGACTGAGTAGTAAATCTACTAATTAAAAACTTCATGCTTAGTCTTGATCTTCTGGTATTAGGAAACAAAGTTTATCACAAACATATGCTGACAAAGTGGAATGTTGCTTTCCACAGATTTAAACATGATTTTGTTCTTTCAGAATGTCTAACAAAAACTACATTAAAGTCTGTAAAGCAAATACACAGCATCTGGTCTAAGATATTTTAACTTTTGAGGTACAGCATAGTGTTAAGAGACTTAAAATATACAAGTTTTATCAAAAATATTTATATATTCTCTTAAAACATATTGCTTTTACCCTTATTCTCAGTAATTTCCGATGATGATTACTGAATTCAGTGGCCATAAAAATGTATACAAGTGGGTTTTCACTATTAAATCTGGATTTCAGTAATACATTCAAACAGCCACTGGACAAAACTAAAAGTGTACAGTTTATACGATTCAAACAAAACTATAGTTTCCAAATATACATGTATACTGGATGTATACAATATAGTTCCACATTCTTTAAACATGAATGGTTTTGAACATTTTGAACAGCAAATGCATGATGAATGAGATAACTAGATATAATGATTTGCTAGAATATGTTTGAAGTTAATGTGGAAAATACACAACTTTAAAAGTATAGAACAGTGATTGTGTATTTCAGGGAAATTCATACATTTAGGAGTATTCCTGGTTAAGACTAGAAAGACATTCATTACATTCTTCATATTTGCTGGTTATTTCTGAACAGTGTTTAACAAAATTTAAAGGCAAACACATTTGTTTAGCAAGTGACTTTGGTAAACCTTTAGGACCAGTCATTTTTTTTTTCTGCAAATGGAAGCACTGATGCTGCTTTCACATAGGTAAGGTTTTGAAGCATCTCCTCACTAATAAATACCATAGAGTTTGTTAAACAAGGCATTAGTTTGTAATACACATTATTTTGAGAAATCAAGTCACTAGCGTGCTTGACAGTCTTGAGTTCTACCATCTTGGGGGACGATCATTTTCCTGAAAAGGATCAACAGTTTTTGTTTTCTTTCTTTAAAACTCGGGCAGGTGATTGATCTACGGTAGCTTAGTATCCATTTGTGGTCCCACTTTGTAAGGCAGGTGGTTTTGTGATGCTTTCTTCTCTGGAAGAATAAAGATACAGTACACAAGGGTGCCCATGTGAATGTGGAAAACAGCCCGCACCCACTGAATCAGCTTCAAGAGCTGCATAAAATTGCTTTCCAGTGCTCAAGGTTAGAAAGAAACAAAAAAGATATACAAAAGAGAGGCCATGCCTCCTCTGTATTAAAAACAGTACTGTTTAAAATCTTCATATGATTTAAAAATCAGAAGCTACAGGCAGGAGAGAGAGAGTGATTCAAAGAATGGTCTTCTTAGGGCGATGGGAGAAAGTTGTCCTGGGGAGCACATCAGCTGGAATTTTCACAGTGACTAAAAGATTTAACACCAATCAGCAATGTAGTCGAAGTCCCTGAACATTTCCTGCTGATCTTCCAAAAGTATCCGAGGCTCCCGAGGTGGAGTGAGAATAGGCGCTTCTGAGGTAAATTCATCATCGAAATTGCTGACATCTTCTCTTCCTCTTATGACTGGGACAAAAGGAGGCTTCACTTTCTTGGCCAGCAACGCATTCCAGTCAATTAACTGTAAAAAGAGCACCAGTTAAGTGTTGTGCTTCTGGCTATTGTTACATTGTAACCATGCTTGAGAGATGGCACTCACCCGAAAAAAGTGATGCTTTTTGACATCTTCAGCATCTTTTTCGCCAGCACCAAGGCGACGCTCTGGATTTCTCCTCAGAAGCTGAAAACAATATCAGAAATAAAGTCGGGTCATTCTTTTCTATCTATAGTAGTATGAAACTACTCCAAACAAGTCAAGTACAGAGTCATAGTCTGGATAGAGACACTACCATAGGAAACAAGCTGCTTTTCTAAAAAGTAGTCAAACCAAGTTTCGTTTTTATTAATACTTTTGTTCGTATTTCAATTGAGGAGAATAGTGAATCAGGGCTACACAATTAGGCAGTTAGAAACATTGTCCTGAAGATCCCTCAATTTATAAATACAACTTAAGCAAGATAAACAGAATAAGGCCATTGCTCATTAAGGTTCCAATTTCATTTGCCCTCATGCATTTAACTAGAAATCTAATTTACTATTAGATTTCTATCAATTTTCTATTATTTTGTATACGTTCAGGGTTTAGTCCTTAACTATTAGCAAGCCTCTGGTTGCATTTCTACTTGCATAACAGTACCTCACCAAAGTCCATTGATACCGTGTTTCCCCAATAATAAGACCCGGTCTTATTTTTTTTGCCTCCAAAAGAGCCATTAGATCTTATTTTCGGGGGATGTCTTTCCCCCCCCCAGTCTCGCCTCACAGTGGTGGCCCCGACAACCCTGTCCAGCAGGACTGTGCGTGGCAATCACTGGCCCACTTCTTCTGCGATCACTTGCCGCCACTCATGCGCGTTGCCCTCGGCCTCCATTTTGCCAGCCTCTGCAGCCCAGAACAGAGGTCTCGGTTGACTTGCACATTGTTCCCGGCCTCCGTTTTGCCGGCAGAGGCTTTCAGGAAAGTCCTCTGCAGCCCAGAACAGAGCTCCAGATTAACATGCGCGCCTCCCCCCCTGACCTCTGTTTTGCTGGCAGAGGCCTTCAGAAAAGGCCTTTGCAGCCCAGAACAGAGCTCCAGGTTGACGCTGAAGGCCTCTGCCAGCGAAATGGAAGCCAGGGGGCAGTGCATGTGTCAATCCGGAGCTCTGTTCTGGGCTACAGAGTCCTTTCCTGAAGGCCTCTGCTGGCAAAATGGAAGCCAGGGGTGATATGCGCGAGCGGCCGCAGAATGGGCCGGCAGTGGCCATGTTGGTGCCGCTGCTGTGAGGCAAATGTTGGGACGTGGGAGGCCTGGCTGCGGCAGTCCTGAAGTAAGCGCCTCACTCCACCTCGTGCAACCAGACAGTGGGACCGAGTGGGCGGGGTCTTAACTAGGGCTTATATTAGGCGCACGTGTAAAAATCAAGCTAGGTCTTACTTTTGGGACACGTCTTATTTTGGGAAAACATGTTAAAGTGAGGGGAATGTCCTCCTAAATTCTCAGTTATATCATGCCTACCATTAAATTAAAGGCCAAGTATTCAGCACTTCTATTCAATGGCACTGTGACGAGGTAAGCTGTTATTAGTACTAGTTAAATCATACTTTCATGTTACAGTATCTATTTCAGAAATATAGTCTTACCCGTCTCATTACTGAGATAGCTTCTGTAGACAGGAATCGAGGATATCTTACTTCATCATTTACAATACTGTCAAAAACTTCTTCTTCATCGTCTCCTGGGAAGGGAGACTGGAAAAAAAAATGCTTCTTAGAAATGGTAATTCAAAGCCTTTTTTTATATATTAAAATAATACATGTAGCATTGAGCGAGTGTGTATCTGATATCTGTCATTCTCTTCCTGTCCCAAGCAGCATTATTAAATCAAACTTAAAGTAAACCAGTACTGAAAAGATGGTGAAACATCAAGTCCATTAAGGCAGGGGTGTCAAACTCAAATTTCATTGAGGGCTGCATCAGCATTGTGGTTGCCCTCGGGGGGCCGGGTGGGTGTGGCCAGGGTGAATGTGGCCTATTGGGTGGGCATGGACAGGGTGTGGCCTACTGGATGGGCGTGGCCAGCTCTACATCGTTCACGTCAAGGGTGCCTGTGGGGGCCTGGGCAAGAGTGGGACAGATCTGAGGGTCTCTGGCAGAAGGGGGTGGGACCAGGGCAAGTGCCAAGGCATGGTCCACTGAAGGAGCCTCACTGTTCCTCTCAGGCCATGCAGGGGTGTGCTGGATGGTGTTGCGGGCTGCCCGGAGCCCTGGGCAGCAGAGGTCAAATGCCCAGACTGGCCCTCGAGCACCTGCGGCACCAAGCCGTTTCCAGACGGCCTTGTGGAGCTAAGACTGAATACGTTTCAGCATAGATGGCCACCACAAAATTGTACATTGGCTCCCGGCTGGCCTGGGCAAGGGCCAAGGCAGCGGGGGCCGTTCCCTCACTGTTTCCAGGATGGCTTCGCGGGCCACATGAAACCACTTCGCGGGCCGCATCCGGCCCCCGGGCCTTGTGTTTGACATGTCTGCATTAAGGCATTCACTTGAGGAAAGCTCAAATGGGGGAGAGACCAGGGCCAAACTTGCAGAATATCTACTACACCATGCATTCAGACATAAGGAGTTGTTCTCTGAAGAAGGCATTCTATGTTTACAGAACAATGTGCAATTAACACTTCCATACATTTTGTGAAGCTTACCTCACCAACCAGCATTTCATAGATGAGTACACCAAGACCCCACCAATCTACAGCTCTTGTATAAGATGTTTCTGTCAACACTTCTGGAGCAAGAAATTCTGGAGTGCCACAGAATGTACTTGTCCTGTCACCAAATCCCATTCCTGCAATGATTACACAAATTACACAAAGATTTAGATATATATCTGTCAGGGTTGTACAGACTGACTCAAATTTGATTTATGTTGTCAATTCCGTTTAGACAGTCAAATCAATGTGATGGTCTATATATGTTTAATGAAGTCAATTTAATGTTTCAATTCAAAGTGTTGAATCTGGATCATACCTGATCTTCAAATCTGTTAAAAAAAAAACCTGGCCAAATTCACCATTTTTAATTTAATTGGTGAAATGGTATTCATGAATGTGCAGTCACACAAATTTTTCATATGAAATCACTGAACTATTTTTCCATTGCCCCCAAATATTTTTTTATAGTCACCTTGCAGCGCAAGAATCCTAAATAAACAGTTTAAGTGGCAATTGGGGCAACTGAGATACAGATTTAGATGCTTCTGAATGGTAAAGACAATTTGAATCCAAATATGAATTCAAAAATTTGAATTTAACGTCTGAGTCAATGGTTTACAAACAACAGATTTTTAAATAATGTATTTGAATTGTGCCTTGTTTTCCCACCATCTCTATCCTAGGAAAATAAAATAACATTTGATACAGTAGAATGTTATGGACATACAAAGTAGCTTTTAAGGAGGCACTGCTAAATTTAAGGGACTTCTATTTATAACTCTCAATTTCAGTTTCCTGAATCATACTGAGAGCTGCTAAACTATTGCTCTGAAGAATAGAGCAAAGGAAACTGGAGGATGAAGAAAAAAACTCTCCACTTACGAGCAAGGCACATTTTTCTGAAGTTTAAAGCTTTAATACTGCACACTTAGCCAATGCCACCATCCATAAAGCATCTCTATAGATACTCCTCCTGCTATGGAGATTGTGGCTTGCTCATATCAATGTGGCAATTATCATATCAAGGACACACAAAGTGAGACGTAGGATTTTATCCAACATCTTCATTCTGCACATTCACAGAGCACACCTATCCAAAATACAGGTAATCCTCGTTTAACAACGCAACACAACCACTTCTTCAGCGATCAAACTTATGACGGCACTGATAAGGAAAATAAGGAGACTTAGAACCCATCTGCATAACTGTAGCTTTGGCAGCACCCCATGTGATTGCCATTTGCTGCTTCATTGCTGGCTTCCTACAAGCCGAGTCATGGGGAAAGCAGTCACGTGACATCACACCTGACCATCACATGGAAGTCACTTAACAACAGCAATTGGCGCTGTTGCAATTGCTGTCATAAAACAGTGCAGCTACATGGCATCACACTTTTTGACTGTGTCACTTAGCAACAGAGGTTGCTGGTCCCAGTTACTGTAATTGAGGACTGCCTGAAACACATTCCGTTCTTATCAACTTCCTGCTGGTGGGAAAAGTTGCTATCTGCAATCCCCACAACATGTTTGAGTAGTAGAGGAAGTATTATCAGCCATTAAAAAAAAAAAAAAACTTGCCTTCTTTGCAGAGACCAAAGTCAGCTATTTTAACAAAGCCTTCAGTATCCAGCAACAGGTTATCCAGCTTTAGATCTCTACCAAAAGAAATAAAAGTTAAAGAACATTAGTAAAACAACAAAAACAACCCAACTATGTAATTGCTAAGCTATAGTGCCTGCCGTCCCCAGGCTGGGTGCCTGACCTATGGAACGGAGAATCTTAGAATTTGCAGCAATAGCCATACTGACTAAAGTCTGCACATCTGGAAGTTACCCAATCTGCTGAAGGCTACTTTAGAGAAAGTACCACTTGCAAAGATGTACTAATTCTCAATGTTTCCTTTTCCCCCCAATCTGAACAGATCTTAATAATGTACAAATATCCAATAGCATTAATTTCTTCTAGCAAAGACAAGGAACAATTTTATTAATCATAATGACAGCAGTTTTTAAGCCAGATTCACACACGCAGCGGGACATAAAATGAAGTGGAATGCTACATTTTTCAAATACTTACCTGTAAACTATCCTGTGTTCATGTAAATATTGCAGGCCAAGAACTACACATGCAGCATAAAATCTGTTTAGAGAGAAGTACAATGTTTCAGTGCTCATCAATTTTGCACATTTATTTACACTATTGCAAAGAATAACTGTTAACAGTTGAGACCCAAATCACGCCATCCATGTGAGAGTAGAGTAGGAGTCTTTTTTTTCCCTGACTCCCAGTGCTCAAAAGATGAAGGAGCAGCCATGAACTGACTGGGGTGTGTCTTCTATGTTCCAGACCTCTTTGGAGAAGCTATCAATGTAGCCATCCTTCCAATATCAGGAGATTCCCATGCAAGGAAATGCTGTCTGTCAATTGGGGCACATTTCCATTATGCTTGCTGTGGAAATTTTGGACTCACAAATTCAGGTCCCATCCTGATTCTTGTCTAAGGGAATTGCCTCCTTGCCTTCCTTGAAGGTAGGTGAAACTATTGACTGAGAAAGAGCAATATAACTTGTTAATGTTTCTCAAAGAAAAAATATCCTTCTATTAATAGAAGACCCAAAGAAAGATGGCTTGTCCTTTGTGGTCCTAGGGCAGTGATGGCGAACCTTTTAGAGACCGAGTGCCCAAAAACTGGCCTGCCCCCGCTACGTCCGCTCCCGCCCTACTCCGCCCTCACCCCGCCCACCCTCAGGGCCATCTACGGCATGCCACAGGTGGCTCTGCAGCGCCATGGTGGCCACGCCCTCCACTCGCACCCTGCAGCATCATCTGCTGCCCAGCTGCCATGTGCTTGGCTATACAGCTCCGCACGGACCGCACCCGGGGGTGACTCTTCTCCGGAGGGGAAGAGGGGGCTACAGGGGAGGCGGGGCTGGGCCGACAGTGTGCGTGCCCACAGAGAGGGCTCCGAGTCCTGCCTCTGGCACTAGTGCCATAGGTTCGCCACTACTGACCTAGGGATTAAAGCCTGATAAATGAGGAAACATCAGAATAGATTCTTGCAATGGCATATGGTATTTATGCATGTTATTGTCTTGCTATGTATTTTATTATCTTTTCTTTTTTGGGGGTGCCTTTTGAGTCAGTATTGACTCCTGGCAACTGTCTGGAGAAGTCCCTGCAGTTTTATTGGCAAACTTTCAGAAGTAGTTTGCCATTGCCTGCTTCCAAAGCCCGAGGAAGCATAACTGGCCTAAGGTCACCTAGCTGGCTATGTGCCTAAGTTAGAAGTAGAATTCTATGTTATTAGGACACAACTTCCACTTGAAGAACACTTAAGAAGCTACCGCTGGTTCAAAAGGCAACAGTGTGAGCAGCAACGGATGCCGCTTGGTGTGCCCATGTGTCACCACTGCTACCTGAGCTGCACCAGTTGCCAGTTGCCTTCTGAGTGCAAATCAAGGTGCTGGTAAATACCTATAAGGCTCTGTACGACACAGGGCCTGAGCATCTGAGAGACCATTTATCTCTTTTCAGCCCAACCAGTATTTTCAGCAGAATGGGTGTATTCCAGGTTTGCTTCATTAAACACTGATATTTTGTGGGACCTGGGAAGCATGCCTTCCCTCTTGCAGCCCTCAGCCTCTGGAACAAAGGTTAAGGATGGCAGCCTCTTTCGTGGGGCTGAAGTTTATTATTTGCTCAGTGGCCATGTTGTGTTTTGTGGCTTATGTTATTAGGGCATGTAAGTCTGCACTACCTGTTGATTTTAGCTGTTTTATGAGTTCTGTATGCTGCTCAAGAGTCCACTGGGGGTAGGTGTCCAATAAATATAAATAGGTAAGTAAGTAAGTAAGTAAATAAAACACGATTCTCAAAATACTGCTTAACAAGCTTGTTGTGATAGCCATAGTCATGCTATGCTTTCATTTGTCTACAGATTGTATTCTGTAAATGTCTATATTTCAACAGGGATTGTTACTAAACGTTCTGTCTTCCCAATCAGAGAAAGTAGCAGAAGCTACCCACATTTCAGGCACCTTCTCTCAACTGAAATAAAGGAACTTGCATTGTAAGTCCAATGTTCCACTTCACTTGTCATGAAAATTTAGCTTTTTAAAGCTAAGGACCTCCTCTGATGGGTGGAACTAAGGATTCTAGTAGAGGACAAAACAGACCCCACAAGCTTAAATCTGATAATTTCTAACCCAACCGTGTGAAATTATTTTTGTTTTTTAAGCTCTAGAAACCTGTCACCACCCAAAGGCAATCGTCAACAGTTATTTTATTCCAGGAAGTAAAAAGTTCCTTTTGTTCAGGCTTTATGCCCCAAGGATCATGTTAACTTTGCCAGATAATAAATACTGCCTAATCTAGTGGATAGTCAAGTTGGCTAATATTTTTTTTTAAACAAAAGTCAAATACAAATGTAAAAAACACAGGTTAAATTAACAAAAATAGGCCCTAAAATATTTAATGGAAATAGTTCTATCACTTTGCACAATGGAAATGGGAACCGTGTAGGATCCTGGAAGTAAAATTAATGAGCAAAGTCCCAATTCCTTTTACGTGTGTTTACTTGGAATTATCTGATCAGGCCTTGAAAGTTTATGACATTACACATATTTATCATGCTAACAGGACATATTTATTTATTTATTTATTTACAGGTAGTCCTCAACTTAAGACCACATTTGAACCCAAAGTTTCTGTTGCTAAGCAAGACAGTTTTTAAGTGAGTTCTGTGCCTTTTTACGACCTTTCTTGTCACAGTTGTTAAGTTTGTAACACTGTTGTTAAGTGAATCTGGCTTCCCCATTGATTTTGCTTGTCAGAAGGTCGCAAAAGGGATCACATGACTTTGGGACACTGCAACTGTCATAAATACATGCCTGTTGCCAAACATCTAAATTTTGATCACTTACCCATGGGGATACTGCAATGATTGGAAGTACTAAAAACGGTCATAAGTCACTTTTTTCAGTGCTGTTATAACGTCGAATGGTCACTAAATGGACTGTTTTAAGTCGAGGACTATCTATATTTGATTTATATAGCTGCCTATCTCAGCAAACGATTCTGGGCAGCTCACAATTCAAAACTTATATTGCAAACATTTTAAAACAATAAAAACAGTAAAAAGCATTAAAACTGTAAAAACATCAAACTCATAGGACATCTCTCATTGTAATTACAAATGAGATGCCTTCATTGAAGTTACAGCTGATCATTACTGACTGAAACTAACTTCAGAAGAGTGAGGTGTCTTCTAATCTAAACACAGTTAAGTCAAAGTCATGTTCTCACTAGTTCTCAGCATTCTCATTAGGAAGTTCCAAAAGTCGATTAATTTACAAGATATTGGAGATGGTACGAAGGCTCAAAACTTACACTGCTCTGGGTTCAGAAAAGACATCAGTGTGTATGTGCATCATGAGATCCCCGCCAGCAGCGTATTCCATTACAAAGCACACGTGATCTTTGGTTTGAAAACAGGCGAAGAGGTTCACCAAAAACGGGTGTCTTACATTGTTCACAGTTTCAAAAATTCGCTTTTCGCACATGAGACTGAGAGCAGAAAGAAAGAAAAAAAGTAATGTGACTTATTTTATCTTTAGTATATCAGAAAAAGAAGTTAGAAGGAAAAAAAGAAGATCAATGCATGTAACCTTATATAAAAGATCAAAAACACATGGTTGAAATAAATGACATAATTATATCGAGCTTCCCAAAAACAGCCCTTAGAGGCTTATTGTATAATAATTATACACCTAATGCCTTTTAGATGTCGATTCCCAGGTAAATCAAAAAGCTGTAATTCCTAGGCAAAAAGATACTTGAAAAGTAAATGCAGAAACTTAGATTATATATATTTATATTATATTATATTATTATTGTCATGGTTCCAACAGACAGAAACAAATAAAGCAGAAATTATACTATATTTTAATTACATACTGTGCTACACTACATTACATTACACTACATTCAGTATAACAGACATATGTAAGTATACATGTAAATAATCTATAGAAAGGAGCCATTCAGGCTCATAGAATTTCCATAGTGATCCAAATAAATATTAAATTTGTGTTCCTGGAAGAGGACGATATATACTCATGTTGTACATACTGAGAAAATGAGGTAAACAGCTATTAACACAATAACAGATTGATGCCATTTCCTGTTGACACATGCTTAGTTTACTTTACACTCTCATCCTACAGTTATTTGCAATTAAGTTCTGTTAGACATATTGTCAAATATGCATGTTACAAATAATGGGTTCGAGGTCACATCAGTTCACACCATATAAAAAATACAAAAATATATACACCATACAATTGTGAATAGTGTATATATTACACTATAAATACATATATACAATTCTATAAAAAAGTATTAACCCCTTTTTAGATTTTCTGAACTTTCATGTTTGTTTGTAAAGTATTATTAGAGCTTCATGTGATCCTCCTGATAATATAAAAGGAGCCTGGATGTACAAGTAATACTAACTTTAGTGCTTGTTTCATAAAGTCATCCAACATGTTTGTTTAGCCACTCCTATAGTAAAAGGAACCAATGGAGACCAATTGACCAGCATGTTCCAGCATGTTTTTTTATTCATAGAAGGCCAGAATGCAAATCCCATTGGTTCTAATACTGGATAGAATACCTAGTTGTCATCATTAACAGTCATTAATCTTCTCTACCCTGAATTCTTCTGCTTTTAAAACTGTCCAAATGGGCGATTATCAGCAAATGTTCTAACAACCAATTCAACATTAGCCCTTATCCTCTTATCTGATCATTCAACTTGATTGTAGTAATAAGAAAAAAGGAAAAATTCTTTCTTCCCAGAGCGCACTACTTTTTATTTAACTCAATTGTTTATGTACTTGCATTTTTCTAAGTTAATGAAACCTAAACACTGCAGTGAGGTATTCTATATACTCAATTTTTTAAATTATCTTTTTCCACAATTTATTTCAGTCTACAGTATTTTTTAAATGTGTGATGACTAAAGGTATGAATAAAATAAAACTTTATTCCAAATGTGCTTTGTCCATAGATTTGCATAAACTGACTATAATATCGACAATTTAACGTTATTTTTTAATAACGAATCTCAGGATGCCTTTTTCATAGTAGTCACAAACTGGATCAATATTTTTAACTGAAGTGTTCAACTCCGCAGGAAAATCTTTTAAGTTAGGGTTGGGGTTTTTTTCTTACCGTATGTCATTTTATACAATGAACTTTATCTTTTCAGTGCGAATTCACATAAATTTAGAAAAATCCTTTGGAACCGTTTGCTATAATTTCTTATTATCTGCATCATCCACAAATCTTACCGTTTCACTGGTCACCCCCAATTCCAGTCTGTTTCTGAATAACAACTTAAAACTCAGACAATTAAAAAGATATTCATATTTAATTATTACTCTCCTTTATACCAACCTGTCTACTTCATCTCGAGCAACAATATCTCCTTTTTTTAAGGCTTTAATAGCAAACATTTCATTAGTGTTTTTATACTCAGCCAATAGGACCTGAAATACAAAACAGCGTTTTTTTATTGTTTAAAAAAATCTTATTGGTTTAATATTTCATTTAGATTTATAATTATTTTTAAATGGACACAAATTCACACACAGATTCTCTAAACATACTAAAATCAAGTAGGCCTCAAGCATAGCTATGCAGATACAGAAGTACGTTATGTCAAATACACAAAATTGTAATTTTAGTTCTCACAGGTACCTTTCCAAAATGTCCTCTACCCAGAACAGCACAACATCGGAAATCTTGTAAACTAAACTGAAACCTCTGTTGTATTCTGAAATACACAAATTTAACAAAAAAAAAAAAAATGAGAATCCAGCCCTCCTTGAGAATCCTAAGGCAAAGCAGTTTGCATTCTCTGGGAAGGCTCCCATCAATGTATCTGCAAGGCACAATTTTTTGCATAGCCGTATTCAGCATGAAGCTATAGTCATATAAAAGCAAAATAGCAGCTTACCTTCTATCTTCAGGTATTTGTTTATACTCAGTATCGGAATTTGAAATCTGAGTCTCACAAATAATTTCTGGTTGAAATTTTGGAACAAAATTATTTTTGTCATTCTCAAAATCAAATGCTTCCACATCCTGTGAAAATTTGAGAAACAAATAAAAAAGAAAGAAAGATTAAAAAATATGCCAGAAATTTGAGAAGTGTGCTTAATTTAGAAAAGTAGAACCAGAGTTGTAGTTTTTTCAGAGGCATAATTTGAAAAATCATCTATAAAAACTACTTTTGCTACATTTCTACGCTTCTATAAAACTTAGAAAGTTAACCAGATCCCAAAACAGGAAAAGTTTAAGGCAATCTAGAAAGCTCCCCAAACCTACATACAAACCTATACATATCTAACCTACAAACCTAAATACATCTATATCCATATCTATGTTAAATCTATATCTATCTCTTATTCACATGTACTGTATACAAAGAAGAAAAACTATGAAGTATTTCTCCATTATGGAAGCTTCTCTTTTATGGCCATATATTGAAAGAACATTACTATAGCGATGAATGACTGGGCCTGTTGTTATTTATAAGCTTCTTTTAGCCATCTTTTAAAATATTATGTAGACTTTTATGGGAGACTCGACTGTCTCTCTCTTCCCATATCTGGACCACCACAAAAATATGCATCTGAACATTCTCAGTGCTGCTTTCTACATATTGGAACATTCTTCCAACATGGCTGGCATCTATTTTTATCTGACTAGATTTTTAAAGGGTCTTCATTATGAAGTGAATACACACACACAGAGGTGCAATACAGATTTAATCAAGCAACCAGCTAAATTATAAGGGAAGGAAACATGGAAAAGCAGTTATTTAAGCAGTCATTTATAGGAAACAACAGCTTCATGATTACACTTTTTCAAACACCAAGACCCATGAATTTATTTAATTTATTTATATTCTTCCTTTTTCTGTGAGAGATCAGTGTGGCATACTTGGGGACCTCTACTAATTTAATCCTCTCGATACCAAACCCATGAAGTTGGCTTAGCAGACAGAAAATGATCAGCTTTTGTGCAAATTACAAAAAATACGAGCTTGGCACAGCTGTCCTGGAAAGGAAATATAGGAAAAAAACCCATCTGAAACCCGATATTGCCTTGTGACATGGGTGCCCTAGAAACCATAGCCCATGTTTTTCTGTACTGAGAGGTCTATTGGGACGTTTGCCGCTAGTTGATTACACCTCTTTTATTTAAATTTCTGGGGCACTCTGGTAGCCTTTATCTGCTCTATCTATTAAATAATAAAGATAAATTTATTTCTCCGAGAGTAGTAAATTTTTGCTACATTATGTGTAAAGTTCTCCCACAAATGGTTGCTTATAGTTCTGGTTGTTAAGGGACAGCTATGTGTTGTTCATTTTATTTACTGTATTTTTATTGGTCAATGACTGAAATAAAAGCTCCGTCTGTCTGAGTTCAATGGGCAACAAGGGTCTTGAGCATGGACCGCACCAATTTGCATCCAATGCTCCGACCCCTAAACACATTGCTCAAAATGACCACAAAAAAAAAGAATATTCATCCATCATATTCTATTTTAAGGTTGTATTTTTTTAAAAAATACATAGTAAATTAAACATTATTAAAACAACGGCAATAATTTATTGAACTTGTAAGCTGCCCCAATTCTCAACAATCCTGGGCAGCTCACAACAATCAAGCAAAGAAAAGGCAACAGAATTCTCAATGAGGAGCCTTGCCTGAGTGGGAGTAGGTGGAGACTTTGGTTCAGGTGAAGGTTCACTGATTTCTCCAAGAGACGATACACGTGGAGGACAGGTGGGTTCAGGGTCAAGTTCAAACACCAATTTACCTACAGGGGAATCACTTGGGGGGAGGGGGAAGAAAAAGTTCACTGTAAGCCTGTTGACCTTATGAGCAGAATTCTACACAATTCAATTTAAAAAATAAAAAAAAATCCCAGTGATAAGCATCTGGTTCTTTTTTACATTGCAAATGTTTCACAGGAACTTCTAACACTTGAAATTTGTCCCTTTATTTTAGCCATTCACTTACCTGGTTGGTGAGCCTAATCCAGAAATGTGAGCATCAGCTACTGATACTGTAGAGGGCACAGAGGCCTGAGGGCTGAAGGTCCCAGTATGATTTACTGTTGGAATAGCTCTTCTCACCAACCTTCCCCAAGTGGCGATATTAATATTCATTTGCGGAGCTCTGAGAAATGTTTTGCCTGTGGATAAAGAAAACAAAGCCTAAGTAATTTCTTTATTTATCACCAAAAGCTATAACTAAATGAGAATTCATATATTCATTCGTTTATTACTTGTGATGGATAAGCTGTGCATGCCGTTATTTCCTATTTTCTTTCTTTCGTGCTTTCTTATTAAAGCCTTGTTGACAAATTGTGAAGAATTATCTTTACATGAAACATTGACATATAAGCATCCATTTTTATTAATCCTAGGACCAAGTGCTAAAGCTATAAAAAACACCTCACCTTGTTGCTTGGAGAAAATTTTCTTTTGTCTCTGAAGTTTTGGTCTCCTTTCAATAACAGGATTAAAAAACGTAACCTGCAATTCAGGCAATAGGTTTTAGAAGGCAGATGTAATACTTTTTGGAAACAGGATTTCACAAGACTTGAATATTTACTAAAAATAATTGCCCTTACCTCTGCAAACAAAGTACCCTGAGGTTCAAGATACAGACACATTCCATGTCGCTGATTATCCAAGAAGTCTTCTAATCTCAGAAATTTCACGGCACACAAAGATCTCCAATCACGCCAATAAACAGAAATCTCTAACTCACGCGACTGAAGAATAATAAGAAACAAACACAGGTTCGGTTTTTATATTTACCAGATTTGAGCAGACCTAGCTGGAAATATTCTTACACCAGAATCACCCTAGCTCTGGAATAGATGGCTTCAACAATGGAAGAAACCACCTTTCTTTTCTGCCCACATGATCTAATTAATTCATTTATTTACCTGCTGCTTCCAAGCTAGTGCAGCACTGCATAAACTGGCTCAGAAGTTATATCCATGAAATGAATGGCCAGCAATGTGATAAAAAATTCCAACGCTGTGACTGAGAATCATCAGAGACTAGAAAGGAATCTTTTGTTGCTTCTGTGTATTGAATCAGTCATAATTAAGATGTAAAGGATATTATTTCTGCAATTCTCAAAATGTTTGAGACTCTTTAAAAATAACTAACACAAAAAACTCGAACCTATAAAAGCTGGGTTGGCACGTGGAAGGCTAGACTAGAATAATTTATGATCCGCAGTCCTAATGCCGGATAAATGTAAACTACTCTATATTAATTCCAAAAGCAACAGTTTATCTTACAGTGAAGACTAATAACACGTGTGTAGGCATACTAAACAAGATGCAAGGATAGAGGATAGCTACATTTCAGTTTGCTGCTCTTTCCATTCTTCTACCTCTCAAACCCTTCCCTCCCATCACAGATACTGTATCCCATTATGTAACATGTAGAGCCATTTCTCATGACCTCAAAGGGCCCAAGGCCTCTTTATATACAGATTGGGTCATATTATTTGTCAATCTAATTTGAATGATTTGAATGTTCAACATAGTTGCTACTCAGATCTCTTCCACATAAGAGAAAATAAAAACTTAAGGGAGATTTTAACATACAGTTCAATGTTATTTTCTATTATTATTATTATTTTTTTTTAAAAACTTCCTGCCCTGAACTCATACCCCATACATGCATTTGGAGTAGATTTAAGTATATATGAGCAAAGCTAAAAAATCATATTGAGAAGAGCCTCTGCAAACATGCCAAATGTCAGTTGCCTTTCACTGTCTTACACAGATTGGCCGGCAGACTTTGGCAGGGCAAGAGGTTGTTTATTTTAGGATTGTTTGATTGACTAGATATGAAAAATTATTTTCATCGTCAAAGAACTTGATCTTTTTGTCTCTGTTTCAGGAAATCTATTTCCTGACTTCATCAAATAAAATAAGTTTTTTTTTTTAAATCTCTATATGCCAAAAGCATACTCTGTATTTTAAAAAATATATAAACCGGTCACTAAAATTTCTTGTGAAATTTTCTTCTGCCAAACGTATGATCTATATCAGGGGTGTCAAACTCAAATTTCATTGAGGGCCGCATCAGCATTGCGATTGCCCTTAGGGGGCTGGGTGGGTGTGGCCAGGGTGGGTGCGGCCTACTGGGTAGGTGTGGATGGAGTGGGTGTGGCCTACTGGGTAGACAGGGCCAGCTCTACATCGTTTGCGTCAAGGGTGCCTGTGGGGGCCTGGGCAGGAGTGGGACAGATCTGAGAGTCTCTGGCCAAAGGAGGTGGGACCGGTGCATGTGCCTAGGCATGGTGCATTTCTTCATTCCTCACAGTGACACCTCCCCAGCATGCACCCAGGGGGCGGGGCCAATGCGGCAGGGGCCGGTCCCTTGATGTTTCCAGACGGCCTTGTGGAGCTAAGACTGAATGCGTTTCAGCATAGATGGCCATCACAAAATTGTACATTGGCTCCCGACCGGCCTGGGCCAAGGCAGCGGGGGCCGTTCTCTCACTGTTTCCAGTATGGCTTTGCGGGCCACATGAAACCACTTCGCAGGCCACATCCGGCCCCCGGGCCTTGCGTTTGACATGTCTGATCTACATTATATAACATTTTAACTTCACCCCAAGAACAAATTGTTTCAACAGTTGCAACTGATTTACAACAGTACATACAATTAGTTAAAACATCTCTCAAATCCTCTATATGTTTTTACTACAGGACTTTACCTAATATCACAAGAAGCTAAGCACTTAAAAATGATGTGTTGCAAATGCTACGAGCATAGTGATGCAGAATACTAAAGATGTATGGCTGGAATGGGCTTCTGCTCATGGAATTTTCGTCCTTGTTTCAGGGAGAGGGAAGGCTAGAATGTTCTCTTCCGTTCAGGAAAAGGGAGCTACATTCCAAGTCAGAATTTCTCTCTAGGCATGTGCAACAATTTGCTCAACTGGCAATCCTGGTAAACTTATTAAAGAGGTCCTTACTCTGTCTAGTTCCAGCGTAAATTTCTGGTCCCAGGACTGATTGGAAATAGGCTTCCAGCTAGTTTGATCGACAACAGTGTTGTCCAATTTCAAAACAGCACAGATTTCATCTGTAAGCAAATTAAATAAATTCAGTTTAGAAGGTTAAGACGGCATTCCAAAAACAGTTAACAGAAGCAGCCCTGATAATGAGGAATAACTTGAAAACGGTTAAAATATGTTCAAAAAATATATAAGCAAAGCACAAAATTCTACTTAGTCTGAAGAGTAATTACAATCTTCGTTTAGGTTAACCTACAGCAATAATGGCGGACGAAAATTCTCAGTGTGAATGTTCAAAGTCACTGTGTGCAAAGCTCAAATGCTTTCCAAACTATGGCACTGCGTTTTTTCCCCTTCTCTCAGTAGAAGAAACCACAGCTCATTTCCTTTTTCTCTCAACCTTTCCTAGAAAGAAAGATAAAACGTTGGCTCCTTGTGTCTCCATATACTGATAGTCCTCCACCTAGAATCATTTGTTCAGCAACCGTCTGAGGTTACACGCCAGTGCTGAAAAATGGGACTTACGAGCCACGCTTGAAATTCAGCCATTGCAATGCTCCCCCGTGGGTGAACAAAACCTGGGTGCTTGTGCAGGCCCCCAGAACTCAGGATTGCCGGGGGTGCTCCAAATCTTCTCACCTGCCCACCTTCCCCTTCTCTGCCCTTGGCCACCCTGCCCTTTGCCTTGTGGGTCAGCCAGCAGCCCCAGAAACAGGGGCATCCTCACCTCTGGCCCTCTCCTTTCCCTACTCATAAAGATCAGTTCCGGATCGGGATTACAAAGTGATCGGGAAGTGGAGGAGATGGAGGATGGCTAGAGATTAGCCTGCCCCTTGCAAGCAAATTGGAGGCCAGAGGGATTTTGGCAGGGCATCTCCAACATGCTTCTCTCGCCTATTGTCGCACTTGTTTTCCTGACTTCCAGATACAACTTCACAGCGGATGAAGAGGCAGGCTGGAGGCCAGGTGCAATGCACCAGGAAGTGAAAGTCCTCGATGTGAGGAGTAAGAAAAATCAAGGGGTGCCAAAGTTAATTTTAAACTCATCTGATTGAAGGATAATGGCCGAGGTGCTGTAAAATAATGTTTTCCAGCCCAATGTTAAAGAACAGAAGGCACACATAGGAGGTGAGAAGTTTGCCTGTCAGCAGCAATGGGTGCCTTGCTGTGCCTGTAGTTTCTGGGGTATGGCAAGCAGCCGCAGATCTGCATCTGGTTCTGGGCCTGCCCGCTGACCCAGGGTGCAGGAAGCTAAAAGGTAGAGATGGGGGTGGGGAGAGACAGCGGTAGTTGGAAGTAGTCCCTTGCCTTACTGAGACTTGGGGCTCTGAGGGACCAAACTGGAATGGCTTGGATCGGGATGGATAATTGTTTAACAACCCATGATTCTCAGTTAATTACAATGGGGATTGCCATCATAAGTTGTTGAAGCTGTGCGATGACTCACTTTATGATTGCACCCACTTACAATGACATTCCTGGTCCCAACTGTGGTCGTAAGTCAAAGACTACCTTGTGTACCCTACAATTTCTACATTTGTATCGTGAATGCTGGGACTCTTGGCAAGCAATTCTATATACCGGGGCATAGGTATGAGTCCAGATTATTACCCCTCTCTTGCAATATTATCATTATGAGGTGGGAAAAGAAGACAGCAGTGAGGGAGTTGTAAAAAAAAAAGCACTTGGATTTTATGCTATTAATTTCATCAATCATGGAGGGTTCAATCAATACGTATTTTGAATCAACGGGGAAATATAATTCATTTTCTCATTCATTACATTTTAAAATCCAATTTTAGCTGAACTGTTCCAATATTTCTGTGGCGGCCTATGCTTTATTAGTTGCAATATCCCAATCACAGGCTCCCAACAGAAAAGAGAACTTTCCGCCCTTCAGGCATCATCAAATTAAGAATATACAAAACATTCCATTTTGGGAGCAACATTGTTTTTCTTTCATGATGGTTTTGTACTATACTAGACATGTACCAAAATTTGAATAGAGGGCTAGATTTATATCCCAGAAACATTACTTCCACAAAACGGCCAGCCTAGAACAGTCAGACAGGCATGCTCCAGAGAAATAAATAAATATCCTGTGTTTCCTGGAATATTTTGCACATCACTGCACTGAACTATAACTCCAGCCGGCATGGCCAACTGTAGAGAGGACATCACCCAACCTATTTTAAAAAATGAAGATTATTACCAGTGGTGATTCTTGAAATAGTACTTTTGGGATTATATAATAAAAAAAAAAATCATGAGTCGATAGAAACAATTGCTCAAGACACCAGTCTGCATGAATATACTATGGCAGTGGTTTGAATATGAAGGCCTAAGGCCGTGGTGGCGAACCTATGGCACGCGTGCCAGAGGCGGCACTCAGAGCCCTCTCTGTGGGCACGCGCGCCGTTGCCCCAGTCCTAGGCCTTCAGCTGGGTTTTATAAAACCTTTTCACTTTAGGCCTCGGCTGCCGTGTGCAAAAAAAAAAAGGTTCAATCAATCAATCAATTTCAACTTCTCGCGGAAAAAAAAGATCTCGCAAAGTTGGAATTGATTGATTGAACTTTTTAGTCCCACCCAGTCTACCGTTACCACTGCAGCCACGCCCACCCAATGGGCCATGCCCACCCAATGGGCCACGCCCACCCGGCACCCAATGATACATAAGTGGGTCTTGGGTTGCAGTTTGGCACTTGCTCTCTAAAAGGTTTGCCATCACTGACCTAAGGGCACAGGATGTGGGAACAGCCTGGGTACATTTCTGGTGAATTAGCTACACTGTCACCCAACTAGTTCCCTTTCTGGGCTCCTTGATCTGGTCTCTGGGCTGGTATCGAAGACCCCAAAATATGCTTTTGGGGGTTGGGCGATTTCAATACCTTGGGACCAAGACATAAGAGTCCATGCCTTCCATGGGCTTGTCTCACGTTATTTGTGGCATCTTATGCAGGCTGCCACACTCCAGATTCTGTAAACTCTGGTGTGATCATGAGGTGTTCTGGAGAGCCTACCATCATGGTCAAAATGCCTCCTGGTCCAGTTTGCAAAGTCAGAAGAAGAAAAAAAAGTGGGAAAATTCTCCTAAGCAAGATAGACAAATGGTTTCTGCCACTGCTCTTTCATTTCTTTTTTTAATGGAAGATTGTTTTTCAGTATAAGAGTTGAGAAGGAAAAAGCCCTCCTACTTTTCTAGAAGGAAAACCTAAGAGTAAGAAAGAAGATTACCCTCCACTCAATGCAAATTTTTGCATTTTTGTAGCTCTATCTAAGGTGACTGAGAAATCACTCTTTTTTCAATTCATGGCACTTATACTGTAGAATAGCCTCTCTCTAAAAGCTAGGCTAGTCCCCTCGATTATGGCCTTCTAAAGGGCAGCAAAGACTAAATTCTTTGGGAGGAACTTTGGGATTGATTGCCAAGACATCTCAAACTGGATTTTACTGATTATTAATTCATTATGTTTTGTGTATTATATTATTATTGGACTTACATTTATCTGACCATGTGGTTGCGAACAACTACGAACGTTCAGAAGGGCAGCTTTAATTATAAGAATAATCAAGGGATTTGAAGAGCCAGGGGTACAAAACTCCCTAAACCAAATATTTCTTTCCCTAGAATCATTCGGCTAGCGAATGAATCCAGAATCCAGAAAAGGGCATAGCTGCAGACAATCACAGCAGTTGTGCAATGGGCGCTTCTACGTGCTTTTTAACTTTCAAACCGAAGCTACTGCACAACCTTAAAACACAATCATGATCAAATGTACGATTAAATTGAGTTCATGTTTACATATAGTTACTTTTCCTAAGAGATTTCACAGAAGTGTTTCTGAAAATGAAGAAAAAAAACATTAAAAGGGTACTGAACTGGATAAATCATCTGTTTTCAGGAGGTTTCGACAACTGCCACTTTTACTTTTACTTGTTCGACTCATGAAAGATGATCTGGCTTCACTTGGACTCCATCCAGGTAGAGTGAAGGACGTTGCTTTTGATCTACCAGGGACATTTTCCAGGATATCTTGGCAACCCATAAGCCTAACTTCCAGAGTACCTAAAATGAGATCAGATTGTCTTAACTCATATCATTGGTAAAACACCAGCTTAAGCAAGTACAAGCAATTGATAAATGGCACCAGCATCATTAACGTCATTCTGTGTGGATAGGAATCTTAATACTCTGTAAACTTCATATTTATGGGGCAGTATAAAAGCTTTTAAATTTATAAGCTTTAACCAGAAGAATCCAAAATTAGAATAAACCCACTGAAATCAACTGAATTTAGCTACTGATGCAAGTCCCAGTAATTTTAATATGCATTCATAATGGGCTTACCTGACATGAACTTTTATGACTGTTCTTGCTAAACTTGTGTCAACACAGCAAGTTATAGAATGTTAATAAACAATTTATATTCCATCTTTGCATAATCTCAATCTAGTAATTCTATAATAATGGACAGAAATGATAAAATGGGATTCCATACATTTAACCTGTGCTGATCAATGTATTGTTGTGTATTTGAGAGCACACAGAAACAATACTCAGGCACATTCAGAGAATCAACAATCCCTGCTACAACTTTAGTTTAAAAACTAAAGTCATTTTGGGAAATATAAGCTAACAGCTGTGCTACTGCTTCTAATTTGGTTGTTTATTAAATAATTTAGTAAACAACATTTTAAGATCAGAGTTTTTATTCAACACCTGCTTCAAGTTAGCAAATAAAGTCTGCAGGGATATATTTAAGATCTTCATTAAGCATACAAGATACCTTGGAATTTATTTCCTTTATGAAATGCTGCAATTACAGAAGCACGCACAGACTGTCGAGGGGAACTGTTGGACTACAGTGTCTCAAATTTCATAACCCTCGTGCAGAGAGTTTTTCTTCTGTAATGCCTACTCTTAATTTTTTATATTTAATTACTTTAATCTAAAAACACATTAGCACAAGTAAATGAGAGATACAGTGTTATGCACTGCCTGTTTAAAATTCTCTTCATTTTATTAAGTTTTAATGTTTTAGGGAAAAACCTAAATTCTCATCAGAACTGAATGGCTATGAGGTTATGTCCAGATTTCACTGCGATTCTTTCTAATATAAGGAATAATGATACAAAAACTTTTTAAAACATTCCAGAAATTAGATGCATTAAATAAATGATTCAAAACATTCTGAATTAGAATCCTTTAGGCAATAACTAGAGTTGCAGATTCTAGCAAGCTACACAATGCAATTCTTTAGCTTATCAGATAATGACTGTTTCATTGGCTGGGTCCCATAATGAAAATACGTAGAGACCACTGTATTAAAATAAAAATTTCCCCTTCACCGATAGTCTTCATAAGCAATATTCCCACCTTTAAAAGTCTGAATTTAGTCAAGCAGCTGAAATGCTTGCTTATGATGCAATTAATGCAAACAAGAACTTGGCCAAAAATAGCCACTGCAGAGATAATACATATTTAACTATTATTTAACTACGCCCATTTATATTTTAAAACATCCAAATGTACAAAACTGCAATGTCTCTTTTTAATGCAACAAATATTTTCAAGCACACAAAATATGTAGCTATTACTGCCCCAACCAACCTGTTAAAGCTGCTGGTTTGGACAGTGTACTGTACTGATTTTGTGTGGATATCATACTTTGCCGTGGACTTAGTGTTGGTGAGGAAACAAGTGAAAGTTCTTCTATAATAATACTGCTTTTGGGATGGTTTTTAGGGAGTTCATTTAGTCTTTGTTCTAATGAATACTTCAAGAGATCCAGCTTCTGGCTTGATTCATTAAACCTTGCTTGAGCCTTATTCAGTGAAACAAGAGAAAAAAAAGAATCAATTAGGGAAAACTCTTTTAACATGATAGCATTCAAATTTCACTTATTACATAAAAATTACCTCTGAAAGAGCTTTTCTGTCGGTAACTTTTCCAGAGCCGAACAACTTCATAACGTTTTTGGCTCCTTCTGCCACCGCATATTCTATCCTAAAATGATGTCGCAATTCTTCCATCCGAAGCTCAAGTGGGCTTATCACAGGCTTTGCTATACATACAAAAATAAACAAAAATTAGTACTAACTAGTATATCAAACTATTAGCACAGTATGTTACACTAGCCAGAATATTGGCACAAAACTGAGAAAACATTGAATAGATGTATTACAGCTCGCGTTATCTTCCTGGGGAGCGAGGGCATTAAAGCAGGCAAGTCTGCCCTCTTTTGTATGCATGCCAATGTTGCATGTGCATCCAAAAGAAGAGTTTGTGTTGTGATGCCAAATCTGTTATCTTGTCCAAGTTGAACCCAATCCCATGGCTTCTGCTTTATAGGTCTAATACAGATTTACTAACCAGCCATATAAAACTGGATGGATTGACAGATAAATGAAGTGAACTAAGCACTCAAGGGACGGCTCTCTAAGCTCTGTAGAGCAGTGGTTCTCAACCTTTTTAATGCCGCGACCCCAACTGGTCGTAAGTCAAGGACTAAACCGGTCGTAAGTCGAGGACTTTCCCTGCCCGAGAGCGCCGCGCATGCGTGGTTACACCCCCTGCGCCGGCCGAGGCATAGCTGGCAAGTGACAGAGATGGAGCAGGCCGACCACCAGCTGGCCCAGCCCAAGGGAGGTAAGGCACCTGCTGGAAAAGGGAAAAAAATGGCGGACAAAAAAATGGCAGACAGCCTTGCTTGGCGACCCCCATGAAATGGTCGATCGACCCCAAATGGGGTCCCGACCCACAGGTTGAGAACCACTGCTGTAGAGCTTAATGTGACATTCAGCTACACATTAACAAAAGTCCATCAAGATTTTTTTGAATATGGGTATTTTACTTGCCAGCAGATTCATGGCAGAGCAAATGCCAACTAAAACAACTTTAAAAATCCATCTTGGTGGGGGCAGACATCCACTGCATTTATTTTCTAAATGTTACAAAGTACATGAAGGGGTTTCACATGCAGACAAACACCTATACATTTGAACAGGAGAGACCTCTTTACCTGCACGCTATGGGATAACTATACGAGCACGGGATAATATCCTTTTGTGTGTGCGTGTGCCTTTGAGTCAGTACTGATTCCTGGTGACTGCCTGGACAAGTCTCTGCATTTTTCTTGGCAAGATTTCGGAAGTGGTTTGCCACTGCCTCCTTCTTCCTAGGGTTGAGAGTGACTGGTCCCAGGTTACTCATCTGCCTTTGTGCCTAAGGCAGGACTAGAATTCACGGTCTCCCAGTTTCTAAACTGGATAAACTGCTTTTTTTTTGTTTTTTTTTTGACAACTCCCTATCTTCTACTTTTTCTGTCTCCATCTCCTAGCAATTGTTTATATCTAGCATAAACTAATGACCTTTCAGTTCCCTTTGTTTAACAAAAACTTGTGTCTTTATTCCTTCTTAGTTTCTATTCTTGGCCCTTTAGTTATGCCTGTCTATTTAGTGATAACAATATACAATGGCGTTGCTTTTTCAGTAATTCACACCTGTCTCGATTCAGCTGGCTGCAACAGATGGAAATCATCTTTGACATGCGATGTATAAAAAGGATTTAGAGTGTTCAGAAAGCTTTTAGCAGTGTTATTAGCCCATCTTTCCTAGGCTAGTTTAAATAGGTTTACTCATAGCATCGACTCATCTAGGAGAAACAGTAGCAAGCCGATAGCACTCTTACCCAAGCCTACTGATTGATGGGATTTGTCACATGACATCCAAATGTACTAGGCACGTATACCTTTTAAACTCTCACTTGGAATGGGGGAGAGTTACTTGTGGGACAGCCCAATGGTTTCTGCTTATCCTACTAGATCTGGCAGGCTGGGCATACTTCAGATCCTGGAGGCCTCAGAAGCATGCTTTCTGTCATGGCACTTGCTTTATCGAACAGCCTTGCCCTGGAGATATATCACCCTGACCCTGTTGGCTTTCAGACTTGTTTTTTCCACCAGGCACTTGGGCCAGGAGACTAATGGACCTGGCAGGGAGTGGCTGGTGGAAGAATGCACGTTTTACTGGACCTTCAATATTGTTTATTTTAAATGACTTGTTTTTTTTTTTACTGTATTGTAGTTCTATTCTGTTCATTGCCCAGTTTCTTCTGGCAGCTATATAAGTTTGTTTAGTAAATAACAAATAATATAAATAAGAACATTTAAACCAGCGGTTCTCAACCTATGGGTCGCGACCCCATTTGGGGTCGATCGACCATTTCACGGGGGTCGCCAAGCAAGGCTGTCTGCCATTTTTTTCCCCCTTTTCCAGCGGGTGCCTTACCTCCCTTGAGCTGGGCCAGCTGGTGGTTGGCCTGCTCCGTCTCTGCCGCTTGCCAGCTATGCCTCAGCCGGCGCAGGGGGCGGAACCACGCATGTGCGGCGCTCCCGGGCAGGGAAAGTCCTTGACTTACGACTGGTTTAGTCCTCGACTTACGACCGGTTTAGTCCTCGACTTACGACCGGTTGGGGTCGCGGCATTAAAAAGGTTGAGAACCACTGATTTAAACTGTTAATGAGGCATGTATGGAAAGCTTACACTCATAAGAGGAATTCCCCCCCCATAATAATATATTCTGTATAAACTTTATCCAGAATGAGGAGTAAGTACACACAGAGAGTTCTGAGCAGTCCAGAGACAGTCCTACAAAAATGGGATTCATATGACAACATTAGGGATTTGACATGAGCCACATGGGAGTCAAAACAGGCAGGAAGATACGAGTTGCTCAAGGCGTTGTGTGCATACCCATGTTTGTAAACCACTTGTAGAAGAAGAATACAGGAGCCTGGGTTAATGAGCCTTTTCAGAATATCTTATGTTAAACTGTAGTACAGATTCCTAGACTAATGGGGGAAGAGAAAGGCTGACTTGAGCATTGATCTGGCCTTGTAGTAGTGTGGGACTTTTTAAAAAGTTCCGGTGAGAGTTTTGTGTTAGAAGATTCTAGAAAGGTTTTAGTGAAAGGTTTTCTCTCTAATGTTTCACCATTATCAAAAGCCAATTCATTAGTCTGCACTGCTTGAAGAATCTGCATCCTTATAACTTCAATTTTTGTCTTGCTGTCCTGAAGCATCTGTTGAGCTGTTGCAAGCAGTTTTCTATCCTAAAAAGAAAAAAGAAAAAGAAAAAAACAGTTATGTGATACTAAAATTTGAATTCCCCGATGAGTTTCAAGTACAATTCACGCTATATTTTCAGAATATGAATTCTGACAAACTAAACAAGATTCAGAAATCATTGTGGTTTGAAAACTAATGTGCAATGACTACCAATACATTTTATTTAAATTTTGGATGCATTGGGCATAGGCATCAAATACACCCTTGTTGTTTAAATTTCTTTTATTATTTTTATTTCATCTAAACTAATGTAGAAATTAGAGCACTACAGCAAATAGAATAATGCAGCCTCTAAGAGACAGAACCAAAAAGAAAGTCAGGATTTTTACTAGAATACTGTTAGCATTTATTTATAGTATATAATACTGAGAGCATTTATACAAATGAAGAAAAAAAATCTTAAAAAACCTACTCTTTCTCTTTCTGTCACACAACACATACACATACAGTTTAAAAATGGAAGGTAATGGAAAGGACTTGAAGAAGTTTTCTTCTAAGTAGCTCAGCAGCAAGATTAACAATGTAATTTAACATATAACTGAAAGTGTCTGGAAAGCTACAAATTGATTTTCAGAAAGGTCAGTGAACCATCAAGAAGCAATTCAAACTGTCAACTCTCTGTCACTGTAATCCATTCGATTCTATTGTAGAAATCTACATTTCTGTAGTTCATGCTCTACATGCCAAAACCAAATTCCTATTTATGATTGCTGATAAACACCATTCCATGGTTTGGTATAGAAACAATACTTCCAAATATGATTTACTGGTAATGTTATCAGAGCACATTACTGAAGGATGTGGAAATGGTATCATAACCCTAGATGATCTACGGCTAGCACATCCTGTCAAAAGAAGCAGAAACTCCCCTTGGTACAAATAGATACCAACAAAATATCTGATATGCTTAGAAATTGACTTTTAAACATAGCATATAATGATTTCTATATCTTCCCAAATGGCCACTCTGTAATGCCAGATATTCAAAATGTAACAACCTGTAACATTTTCATGTAACAACATGAAAATTAAACAGTGTATACTGAATTCAAACATGAATTATTTGTAATTAGCAACAGGATAGGAAATTATCCATTACTCTGGTATGGATCTATTTATATTGTCTATCTTGATTGTAAAGTTTTAAATCCCTCATCTGAAAACCTTATTAATTGTGTGAGCTAATAAGTCTTACCTTTGATGGACCATTCGAATACATTTGAATCATATTTTCTGCTCCTTGCTTTACTTTCAATTCTATATTTAACTGTTTCTTTAAGGCAATTAATCTGTTGTTAGTAGGAAAGCGAGGATCACTATTTGGTGTATCGGGTGTTCTGGGACAATCTGTAAATTTGAAACAAATGCCCATCATCAATTTTTCTAAATAATACTCTACAATAAAAGGAATGCATTAAGTTTGTATCAGTCAAAATGTCAATTTTGCAGTAACATTTAATTTGTTAATAACTTTGTCCTAATGCTCGTCATATTTTCTATCTGGTGTAGTCACTTTCTATTTCTCAAATGAGGGCTATTTTGTACAAACAACTATTCATGTAAAACTAAGGCAGTACAACAATAGGTCTATGAAACAATCTCTTGTTTTAGTGATCTAAAACAGCCATTTTACAAAACTTTTGCTAGACAATTAAAATATTTATTTTAAAAAATCCCCTACAGAAATAATTTGGCTACCAAATTATTATTTAGGTATTTCAATTAAAACCTTATAATGCAAAAGAAATAAATAACATTAAGTGAAGTTTTGATCATACAACATTCTAATGGAAACTGACAAAAAGATGTATTAGCCCCACTATACCAGTGGGATTACTGAGGGTCCCAACAGTATTGTTGCAAAATGTTTTATTTTGGAACAAGTTAACTTTCTATTCAGTTTTTTAAAAAAATACTTAAAATAGTTATTAAAAAAAAACATGGTACAGGAAGCTTGCTGGATAGCAAATGATATATTGAAGGTATATGAGTTCCCATTGGCTTGATATTGCTACCTTGTGGCCTAAGAAG